GGAAGGCTGGGCGTGCGGAAGCAGGCAGCCGTGCCCACCCACCCCGTCCCATCCCACCACACACCTCACTCCACCCCACCTCTCTCTTTATCATCCACCTCATCATCTTCACTATCTTCCTCCTCCTCATCCCTCGTCCTCCTCCATACCCCTCCCTCCCTCTCCCTATCCCTCCCACTACCCCCTCCCCTCACCTTCCTCACTCTCCCCCACCTCCACTCCCTCTACCTCTCCTCTTCCCCTTTCTCTCTCCTGGAATCTCCACCCTCCCCCACCCTCCCTTCTCTCCTTCTTAAATATCCCCCTAAGGTTTTGTGAAAACTCAGATCCCAAAACCACAGATCTTAAGGGGTGTCCCCAAAAGGTTTTCATGACAAGTAAGTTCAAAAATCACAAATCGCAAGGGGTGTGCCCCTCTCAGGCTTTGTAAGAACTCAGAGCCAAAAATCACACATCGCAAGGAGCGTCCCTCTAAACGCGTTTGTAAATGATCCACCCTGTCCCTCTCACTTGCCTCCTACCTCCCCCACTCCTAACTCATTCCTTCCCTTCCCATCTCATGTCTCCTCACCTCCCATCACTTTTTCTCCCATCCACTCATCTTCTTATCATCTTCTTATCACATTCATCACTTTTTAATTTGTCTTATGGGGTCTATAGAGCCCATATAGAAAAGCTTCATAGATATGTAAACCTTACAGATCCTCGAGATAAAGAATTTGTAGGAACCGCTTATGTTTCCCACAAATGGAATCCTTTATAAAAAAATCTTTGAAAGATCGATTATATGGCGCCCTCATACACAGTCTTTATATACTCCTTATAGAAATCTATAGATCCTCTGTACAGATCCCTGATATGGAACCCTTGGTAGAAAACCCTTAGACTATACAATCCAAAGAACGCACCCACCCTCCACTCCCTCTACCTCTCCACCCATCTCCCCACTCCCTCCTCTTCCCCTCCCTTTGTCCACCCGCCCTCCCCTCATCCGCGCTTCTTCATTCACCCGTAACCCTTCTTGATTGCCATCTCACTCTGCTCCCCTTTCCCTCCTGCCCCTACCTGCCTTTACCTCCCTCTTCCCACCCCTCGCTCCCTCTACCTCCTCTCTCCACCCACCCTCTTCTCCCTGTTCCTCTCCACCCTCTCCCCACTCACTCACCCAAACCACTCAGCCCGGCCAGGCTCCCCAGCTGGCCCTGCCTCAAAGCAAGCCTGGCGTGCTGGCCGCGGATCTCAGCAGGCCCCTGCCCACCTTCAAAAGCCCACCAGGCTCAGCAGGCCAGGCCGCAGGCAAGCTGCGAGCTGGCCGCCTTCGGCAAGCTGTCTAACATTGTTTCTTATCCACTTTCACCTATTCCCTCGCTTCAGTCCATGCCCTACCTTTCACTCCTTTCCAGACCCTTCTGATATGAGTAAAATGAGAGGAGGAGGTCAGACGGACGAAGAACAGCTCTCTCCATTACTTTCTCTCATCTGCTTTGACCCCTTCCCTTTCCTGGCTCCATGCATGCCCTGCGCGAAGAGAAGAATAAGAGAGAAAAGAGGAAGAGCAGAGGAGAAACTGGTTTCCCCTCTTTCATTACGTAGCATTTCTTTTGGCCACTTCCTCCACACTTCTCGTATCTTCCTCTCTCTTCTTCCTCTGCTGGGCTTGAAGCTCTCTCTCGCCCTCTCCGCAACTCTCTTCTTTCTGTCGAGCGGCCGAGCGGTGGGAGAAGAAGGGCACAAGGTGAGTGAAGACGAGAACACTTCTTCCTTGTCTTCCTCCACAACCTCTTCCTGGTTTTTTACCAATGGGACGGTGAGATAGGACAAGCAAGGCACTTTCGACTGCTTTCTGCATCGCTTCCCCTCCCCTCCTCTCTCTCACTCTCTGCCTCTGTTTTTGCTGGTCTTTCTCTCTTACTTTCTCTCTTTGTTTCTGTGTTTGTTTCCTTATGGCTCTCGTTCTTCTTCTGCCCTTCTCGGATTGTCTCTCAGCTTCTGTTGTCTTTCTCTTACTCCCTTGTCTTCTTCCTTGTGAATTGTCCTTCTTCGACGAGAGGCAGGAAAGGCAGGAGGAGAAGGAATAGGGGGCAAGCGATTCTTTCCAAGCGAACATAATAGGCGGAGAGAAGCGGAAAAGGGAATGTGCAGAAGTAGACGGGAAGGGAGGGAGGGAGAAAGAGGGATCTGGAGAGAACAATGAAAAGGAGGATGGATGAGGTGATGAGAAGAGTGCCCTTTGCATGCCCTGAACTCTCCGTTTCTTTCATTTCTCCTTCCTTATGAAGATGAATAGGGTAAGAGAAGAGGAAGAAGGCAAAGGGCAAGGAAGTAAGAGAGGCGAGCGAAGGAGGAATTCTCCTTTCTTCTCCGAACCGTCTTCCCGCATCTTACCGCTTCCTTTCTGTTGTCTGCTCTTCTTTCCTTATGTCTTCGCAGAGCCTTTCCTCCTTATCCTTTTCTTTCCTCTGGTCATTCAAAAAGGAAAAGAGGAGGAGACGCGAACTGATTCTCCTTGCTCCTTCTTACCACACTCTGCTTCTCTACATCCCCCTGCTTTCTTTATACTCGGTTTGGTGTTCATGTCCTCGGGAGGCCCCCTTAGGGAGGAAGTTGGTGGCTTCCAGAAAGTTGTGGAAGTGTCTGAAGGCGCCTACAAGCCTCCTCAAAGCCCTCGCGAGGCCCGGAATCCTTTGAGATACGGCAACACTGGTACTCTCTGGCTTCCTCTTCTGTGTCCTTCTTCCTAGTCTTCCTCGTTTCTCTTTCTTTCGCACTCGACTTCCCGCACTCTCTGTCTATGACTTTCTCTTATCCACTTTCACCTATTGCCTCGCTTCAGTCCATGCCCTAGCCTTCACTCCTTTCCAAACCCTTCTGACATGAGTAAGCATCAGAAGAATGAGAGGAGGAGGTGAAAGGGACGAAGAACAGCTCTCTCCGTTACTTTCTCTCATCCGCTTTGACCCCTTCCCTTTCCTAGCTCCATGCATGCCCTGCGCTAAGAGAAAAATAAGAGAGCAAAGAGGAAGAAGAGGAGAAAGGGGCTTCCGCCCTTTCAATACGTAGCTTTGGCTTACGCTTCTTCTGGCCACCCCTTGCCCCTTCCCTTATCTTCCTCTCTCTTCTTCCTCTGCTGGGCTTGAAGCTCTCCCTCGCTCTCTCTGTATCTCTCTTCTTTCTGTCATTTCTCAATCTCGTCTTTTCCCTTCTCCACTTTCCTTCCTGGTTCCCACTTTTCCGCCAGACAAGAAAATCAAAGAAAGGAGAGCGGGCGAGCGGTGGGAGAGGAAGGGCACAAGGTGAGTGAAGAGGAGAACACTTCTTCCTCGTCTCCCTCCACAAGCTCTTCCTGGTTTATCACCAATGAGACAGTGTGATAGGACAAGAACAAAGAATGAATAGACGTGGAGGTCAAGGCACTGTCGGCTGCTTTATGCATCGCCTCCTCTTTCTGTCTCTCTTTTTGATTATCTTTCCCCCTTAGTTTCTCTCTTTGTTTCTGTATTTCGTCCCTTATGGCTCCTTTCTCGGATTCTCTCTCCGTTTGTTTTGTCTGTTTTCTTACTCCCTTGTCTTTCTCCTTGTGAGTCTTCCTTCTTCCTTCTGAGTGATAAGGGGAGAAGGACGGGAGGCAGGGAAGGGAGGAGGAGAAGGAACAGGGCAAGCGATGGGACAAAGAGAGTGAGAGAAAGTTAAAGATAAGTATCAAAGCAAGCATAATGTAGCAGGCGAGAGAAGTGGAAAAGTAAATGTGCAGAAGTAGAGAGGAAAGGATGGAGGGAGAGAGAGAGAGAGAGAGAGAGAGAGAGAGAGAGAGAGAGAGAGAGAGAGAGAGAGAGAGAGAGAGAGAGAGAGAGAGAGAGAGAGAGAGAGAGAGAGAGAGAGAGAGAGAAAGAGAGAGAAAGAGAGAGAGAGAGAGAGAGAGAGAGAGAGAGAGCGAGGGGGAGATGGACAACGCAATGAACACGAGGAAGGAGGAGATTATGAGGAACAGTATCACTTGCTCTCCCTGAGCTCTCCGTTCTTGTCGCTTCTCCTTCTAATTGTGAAGAAGGATAGGAGCAGAGAAAAGAAGGCAAGGGCCAAAAAATCAAAGAGCCGAGTGAGGGAGGAATCCACCTTCCTTCTCCCAACCATCTTCCTCCATCTTATGTCTTCGCTTCTGTTTTCGATTCCTTCCAGCAACGGAGCAAGGAAAGAGGGGACAGAAGAGATGAGAGAGCGAGACACGGCAGAGAGGAAGACAGAGCGAGAAAAAGAGAGAGAGAGAGAGAGAGAGAGAGAGAGCGGAAGCGAGACCTCCCTCGTGTTACCCCTGTCATTGAAAGCAGAAGGCGACAAGAAAAGAAACAGAAAAAGGATCAATCAAAGGAAGGAGAGAAGGGAGAGACGAGAGAATGAAGAGTTCACTTCGTCCATCTTCATGCGTATTCCTCTGTCATGACTTCAATTTCTGTGTCTTCTTGACAAACGGCAGAGTGGATAGGCAGGAAGAGGAACGGTGAGAGAAAGAAACAGGACGAGTGATACACAAGACAGATTCTTGATGGTTCCCGGCGCGAGAGGGACGGGAGGACATTGTGATAGACCCTAAAACCAGCACGGAGAACGTCGCCTGGCATGCCCGAGTTGTGAGAGCGTAAAACCATCTAAATCCTCATAAACTCCAAACCTTAGATCTTCCATAGTATACTGACCCCGGTAAACCATAGTTAGGAGCTAAGACCCTAGACCCGTAAACTCCTGTCGAGACCTTTACACTGTACACGCTTCGGCCTCCCGATGTAACCGTCGTGCCAGACCTTGTCGTCGCCGTGCTGAACCCAGTCGTCGTCGTGCTAAACCGAGTCGTCGTCGTCCTTGTCGCCGTGGTGTTGTTGCAGTTTAAGTACAAAGCCCAGCAGGATTGCCAAATAGACCCTAAAGGTCCATGCCACATACCCTTATAGAATCCTTATAGAGCCCTTTAAGAGGGACCCTGAAAGGAACAACCTTATGAACCTAAGGAGCACGCCTACTTCCGGGCACTGGAAGAGACTGATGGAGGCTCTGAGTCTGGGGGAGGGCAAAAGCGCTGCACATACAGAAGCATAAGGGTTCCTGTAAGGGTCCCTTTAAAGGGCTCTCTAGGGATTCTACAAGGGTTCCTGTAAGGGTCCCTTTAAAGGGCTCTCGAGGGCTTCTATAAGGGTAGGGGGTTTAGGGCCTACTTGGAGGTTCATGGGCGCTTCTAAGTGGGGCTAGAAGTCCCCTACTATGGGTTGTAAGTACAAGTACCCTACTTCTAAGTCTAAGCCCACCAAAAATTACCCATGAACCTCCAAGTAGGGCTTCGGCTTAGGATGGCAGGAGTTGGGGCTTCGGAGTTTAATCTAAAGGCTTCAAGGTGGTGGGCTTCCAGATGTTGGGTTTTAAAGAGGGGCTTTAGGGCGTAGGTCATAGCCTGTAGGGGTTGGGAGTGGACTATGGGGCTCCAGGCAAGAACCGCCGTAAACCGCCAAGATGGACTCTGTGGGCGTAAGGATTCACGCGTCGCTGCATACCCCCAAGCAGGGCACCTTGCTGAACAAGATCCTTCAGAAGCCCATATAAACGCCACTTTCACCAACCCTTGAAGGATGCCCTAACGGAACGCTTGTAGAATTGGCGAAAGAACCCTTAAACAATAACGGAAAGGAACTCCGAGACGCAGTGGCAGTGGACTCAAGAGCCCTCCAAACCTCAACAGACCCAATAAGGGGGCTTGAATGATAAGTGTTTGCAGTGCATCGTCTTAAAGTGCCCTCATAGTTGCACTATACTACAGCAGAAAAACAAGGCGCTCTTTTAGTCAAGCCGCCGTCTGTTCTAATTTCATTATGGCAATGCCACAGTCAAAACCTGTTCTAATCACTAAGGGCTCTTTAGCAAACCCCAAACTCACTAAACCTGAATAAACCCTGCAACCCTGAAACCGAACACATGAACTAGCCGCTGAACTAGACCCAAAGCCGAAATCCAGGTCCCTACATAAATGCTAAAACGCGAATCTTCGATGGAGTTTTGACGGCTCTTGTTGAGCAGCTTAGTTTGAGCTACTTAGGCTACCATCCTAAAAATGATTTCTGATTTACTATATGCCCTCATCATCGTTTTCTGGGTTTTGGGGCCACGTGATCCTGAAAAACCCAAACCCCTAAATCCCGAAAAAACCTGCAACATAGACCCCGAAACCCTATGCCCGAAATGCCTAAGCTGCAAACCCTAAGCCAGAAGAGGTACTGAGGCAGTGAAACACAAGGCGGAGGACCAGCCACACCGGGTGTTTGGGTTTTGAGGTCTTAGCGTTGAGGGTTTTAGGGTTTGGGTTTTTAGGGGTTTGGTGTTAACTGTTTCGGGGTTATTGAGGGTTTTGGGGGTTTAGGATTCCGATATATGGTTTCGGATTTTCTGGCCGGGGATGTAGATGGGATCGATGCTACTATATACCAGGATGCCCTGGCGAATATAGGGGCCTTCATAATTAGAATAGGATTTTGGGGCCCAGTTTACTATCATCATCAGCTGTAGTAATCCTCGTCCTGGGCTTAAGCGTTGTCGCCGTCGTCGTCGGAGAAGGAGGAGCAGGACAAGCACCAGGGCAGCAGACACAGTTGCCAATATGTGACTGTGCTTGAATTACACTCTGGCTATAATGGCAAGATGCGCGAGTACGCACGATCGTTGCCAGCATGGCCATATAGTCACCAGGCATCATCTTCAGCCATTGACATGTCTGAAAAAGGCACCCTAAGCCGCACACTCAAGAACCTCCCGAAAAACCTTAAACCCTGCAGATCCCTAAAGCCACAGTATTACCTAGATCCTATATAAGCCCGAAGCCCTCAAACAGTACAGATCCCTAAACCCAACTTGGAGGTGAAGTTCAGGGGCAGTTATAGGTGGAGTGATAAGTCCGCTAATGTGGGATATAACTATAGTTACCCTACCTCTAACCCTACGTATAACTACCCATGAACCTCCAAGACAACCCTAAACCCCTGAACCCAAAACCCTAAAAACTAAAGCCGAAGCCTGACCGACGCTAGACCCTATATAAACCCGATGCCCTTAAACCCTAAAGACCCCGAAACCCTCAACCCTACCTTAACCTACCAAACCCTACTTTTTTGTAGGTTCTTAGTATAAACCCTAATATGGAATTTATAGGGACCCTACTTTTTTGTAGGTTTTGGTAGGTTAAGGTATACCCTCAACCTTAAAAACCCTCAAGCCGAAGCTTGACCGACCTATGGACACGAAGATCCAGAACTTTGCCATACCTGGGTAACATTTTACATTTTTAAGTGTACTTTAACTCAGTAAGGAATAAAAATGTACATGTTTAATCCTAAATTCCAACAATGAAGTAGAGGAAGTTTCCGAAAAATGGGGGCCTGTAATATGGCACCCGAAATAGTAGGATCCTTATTATAAGGACCCCAAAGTAAGGTACCCCTATATTTCGGAAACCCCTAAGCCCTAAACCCTTTATAGAACCCTCATAGTACCCTTACAGTATCCCTTTAAAGGAACCCTAAGGTACCCCTGATTTTCGGAAAAAACATCCTTAAAACCCTAGAATGCGAGACTTTGACGGAGGACTTGGAGCTCTTCCGAGGTTGCGGTCGAAGTGCCTCGCCGGCCTTCGACGATTTAGGGCCAAATATGGGGGTATCTGTTAAAGGGTACTATAAGGGTTCTTTAAAGGGTTTAGGATTTAGGGGTCTTCCGAAAATTGGCGGTACCTTATTTGTGGTCCTTATAATGAGGATTCTATTATTTAGGACCAAATATATGGGTGGTGGTTCCGTTAAAGGGTACTATAAGGGTTCTATAAAGGTTTTAGGGGTTTTCCGAAAATTGGGGGTACCTTATTTGGGGTCCTTTTAATGAGGATCCTACTATTTAGGGCCAAATATATTGGTGGTGGTTCCTTTAAAGGTGTCTATAAGGGCTACCATAGGGGGTACTGTAAGGATTTAGTATAGGGGGCTATAGTCTCCTATTTGGGTAGTTGTCAAAATTAGGGTACCTTTTTGGGTACCCTAAATATTCGGTGCCGTACTATATTAGGGGCCCAAAAAGGGACCACTATTTTGACAACTACCAATATCTATATTATATTCACAAGCCTCCAAGTGGAGTGCAGGGGTAGGTTAAGGTTTCGAGCTGAAAGCTTAGGGTGGATCCACCGAGCTAAACACTAAACCCTAGACCTAAACCCTGAACCCCTAAACCCTCCTAGACCCTCCACCCTAAACCCTACTACATCAACCCTAAACCCTAAACTGGGGTTGATGGTTTGGCGCGGCTCGGGCCAGGGTCTGGGCTCCAGGAATTTGGAAACAAGGCATATACCGCAGGTACTGCCCCCATACAGTAATGGTCCATAATAGGGCTGCTATTTAGGTCCTAATATTTCTAGATTATGAATATTATTCAACTATTACTGATTGGGGGCTGTACCCAACATATACCCAACCCCTACCGAAGCAACCAACAAAACGAGGCCTTGGATGAATGCCTACATTGAACGCCTCACTGCCTACTATCATAACCTTGACCAAAAGAACCTACTTTTTTGAAGGGTCCCTGCAAATTCAATATTAAGTTACGGTTTATAGCAAGAGCCTACGAAAAGTAGGTTTTGGCAGGTTAAGGAACGAGACACATGGTTTGAAGTGAACCACCCAAAAATCGCTAGAAGAGAATCCCTAAATCCGAAACCCCAAACCCTAAACCCCTAAACACTAAACCTCTAAACCCCAAACCCTCCTAAACCCCAAACCCTAAACCCTAAACCCTTAAACCCTTAAGCACCTAAACTCTAAATCCCTAGACCCTAAGCCCTTAAACCCTAAACCTCTAAACCCCACCCATGAGCCTCCAAGCACTGAGGCTTCACGCAGGACATCGGGAGCTTTATTGGCCGGAGAGCCTACAAGCCGGGCCAGGCCGGTATGGGGCTTAGGGGTTTAGGGGTTCGGATTTGGCCTTTAGGGGTTTGTGGGTTTTTAAGGTTTACTTAGGGTTTATCGGTTTAGGGGGTTGGGGGTTAGGCTTTAAGGTATAAGGTTTAGGGCTGTAGGGGTTTAGGGTTTAGGGGCTTGGGGAACACGTGGCTGTGAGAGAAGCATGGATAATTACTCACATTTCATTAGTGTTCCTTAGTAGTATGTTTAATACTATAAAGTAGCCCAGAGCCCTATGCTAATTAGTAATGCCCTTACAGTGAGGAGAACCGGGAAGGCAGGGTACTATAGGGGTTGACGAGTTGCAGCGGTTTGTTTTTTTTGGTATTTGTGGTTTGGGAGGGATTCCGGGCTTGAGGGTCTCCCCCCGGACGGTCCAAGCCGGGCTTATTTCAAGAATCGCGGGACTTAGCAAGTAAGTACGGTTATGAACAAGGTAGCTATACACCCACTTTTATGCGAAAGTGCGAACGAAGGTTCTTACAACCTTCCTTTCGAAGTCCCATGAACCTCCAAGTAAGGCTTAGACTTGAGGCTTTGAAGCCGACACTGTTGCGAAACCCGTTAGTTGGGGCTTTAGGGATGCTTGGCAATGCCCCCACCTCGTACACTACTTTATAACCTCACCTGTGGCTACCCCTGAACCTCCATACCCTGCACAATAAAGCCTAGACTCTCTAGAGAAGCTTTCAAGCCTTGACACCCCAGGCCATCGTCGTTCAAAAGGCAGCAGATGAGGGCACTCTTGGCCGCACTTCGAGTGACTTCAGTTTACAGCTGTGGATTTCGGCTTTAGGGTTTTGGGCTTTATTGCCTTCAGGCTTTAGGGGTGTGTCGCCTTCGCAACTCTAACCACCATAATGTTGTATGATTGCCAGCACGATAGACCATTCTACTTGAGTGCTCGCGAGATGTGCTCCACGAAGCCTATAGGCCACAAAGCCTCGATCTAGTAAAGAAGCTTGAACGCTGAACATTAATTATAGTGGGCCAGAACACATTTGTATTGCAAATGACCCCGAAGCCCCGTCAAAATTACAAGGCTCCTATATGGGTAATTGTCAAAATTAGGGTCCCTTTCTGGGTCCCTATTATAATACGGCACCTAATATTCAGGGTACCCCAAACAGGGACCCCAATTTTGACAACCACCCATATATCATCGCGTTCACCTTCCTCAGGCTCGCTCTTCATCGTGACGGGGGGGCGCGCTGCTGTCATCATCAATAGCGAGACGCGGCAGGCTCCTCATTATTATTATTATGTAATGGGCCCCAAAACCCTATCCTAATTATTAGTATTCTTATCGCGGCAGGCCCCCCTTGGCAGAGCATGAGCTAGCAGTTAGAGTCTGTAATATCTCGGAATCCACACCGCAAATCCCTATTGCAGGAAGCCTTATAGTATAACTCCGATAATCCTAAACCCCAAAGCCCCGAAGTCGCAAGACATAAACCCACCGAGCCTAAACCTGAACCCAGTCCCCAGACCTGTATAACAGCCCTTATAGAAGCGTTTGGGGGTGAGGGTTTGAGGTTTAGGGTTTAAGGTTTAGGGTTTAAGGTTTCGGGTGCAAGCCTTATATTCTAAATCCACAACCCAAAAGCCTTACTAACACACGCACAGAGCCCTTAAAACAAGAACCCGTCAAGGAGCCAGGCAGGACCCTCAAAAGAAACCCTACAAACCTTACACCCTAAACGCTAAGCCCTAAACCCTACTTGGAGGTTCATGGGTGGTTATAAGTGGGGTTATAAGTCCCCTAATATGGGTTATAACTATAGTTACCCTACTTCTAACCCCCCACTTAGAACCACCGATGAACCTCCAAGTACAAAGCCCTACCCTAACTAAACCCTAAGCCCTTCCCTAAACCCTACACCCTAAGCCCTAAACCCTACCCTAAACCCTACACCCTAAACGCTAAGCCCTCAACCCTACAAGACCCGGAAGCCCCTTCAGATCCTAGAGCCTGAGCAGGAGATCTCCTCAGGAGATGTCTTCGGCGCCTTCGCTGCGTTTGAAGAGATCTAGCGCAGTTTAGGGGTTAGGGGTTTATCGTGTGAAGGCTTTTTTAGAGATCTGGCGCAGTTTAGGGGTGTAGGGGTTTATAGGGTAAAGGCTTTTTTTGGAGATCTAGCGCATTTGGGGTTTAGGGGCTTATATGGGGTGGAGGGTTTTTTTGGAGGACTTCAGGCTCGGGTTTAGGGTGTTTAGGGTTCTGTTTGAGATTTCCAAAAGTCGCGGGCTGAAGTTCTAGGGTTTGACGGGGCGTGGAGGCTTGGGTTACTGGTAATACAGGAGTCGGGATAATTACCTGCATTTTGCAAGAATTACTTGGGGGTTCATGGGTGATTATAAGTAGGGGTATAAGTAGGGTAACTATACTTATGACCCATATTAAGGGACTTATAGCCCTACTTCTAACTACCCATGAACCTCCAAGTATGCCGCAGGGCTCATCATCAGAAGTGTAATTAAGTGTAAACCAGCCCATACTGCATATCATAGCAGGTTTCAGGGTGTCACAGAGGACACAAGGGTTGGAGATAAGACTTGTTTGGGCTTATGTATGACATGGTTTGGATTTTCTGGCCCATGGCTTTTTCGGTTAACAACCGACAAAGCGCAAAGCTGAAAGTCAAGCCAGCAGTTCCTAGACCTACGGAGCCTCTTCGCCCGTTCAGTACCCTTGCAGCAAGCCTCTGCACCCCCCGCAATCACTACAAATGACAAGATCTTTCGCTGTAGACCTTTGCTGCAAAACTTAACAGCTGATGCTTTACAACCCCCAAGTCTTGGGTTGTAGATCCAAATCCTTACTGTAATTATTAGTCCAGCGTAATTTTGACTGTGAAGCCAGGCAGATGGCCAGTGAAGCCACGTAATTGCAACATGACGAGTTGGAGGCGGCATGTTGGTCTAGGCGTGGACCCCGTCACCGAACCCTTCTGGGGAAAGGCGAAGAGTAAGGCCCGTGGCAGCACCGACAAGGAAGGCGGCAGAGCTGTGGCTTCTGACTCAGAAGAGTCAAAGGAGTCTAGGGCGAAACGCCTTAGGACCTTCGGACGCGAATTGGATACCAACCTCCACGTGTTCCGTGAGGCGGACCACGCGGATGGTGCAAGCATCCGAAGGTTTATTTCCAAGACCCAAGGGATCTTTACGGCGGTGTCCGAAGGGCGCTTTCATCGAAGCTCCTCTCATGACAACCTGGGAGATGCTGAGATGATTCTCAAGGAGCAAATTGACATTGCAATGGCCGACCACCAGGCCAATACACTGGAGGCGGCAGATGCCTTGATGGAGACTGCACTTCACCCGTAAGTATTTGCTGCCGGTTCGTTTGTTGGCATTCGCCACCTCAGGTCTTTGGGCTTCTTCAGGTCTCTTGAGGTTGGCGTTTGCCAGGTTCACTCCTTTGCGAAATACGTTTGTAAACGTAGGGATGCACTGGGTACTGCCCCCACTCGGTAACAGTTGGATAATATTCATAACATAGGTATATCAGGACCTTAATAGTAGCCCTATTATACACTGTTACTGTACGGGGGGGCAGTACCCAACCTATACCCCCTGTTACCCTAAACCCTAAACCCTTAAAGGAATCCTAAACTCTGTAAGGAATCCTAAACTCTTGAGGGAATCCTAAACCCTTTAAGGAAAGCCAGCTGGAGGACAGTAGACATTCCCTGTGGGCTCGGAGTCTCCCAGGGCCCAAAGCTGCAAAGAGTGCTTAATGTAGGGGCCTTAGTATAGGGGTTTGGGCTCCTTTGCAGCATAGTTAGTTATAATAAGGAGCCCTAGAGAATAATCTTCGTTGTTGTTTAGGCTTCTATAGTAGACTGGGGCCTGAACAGTATCGTGGCTCAGAGAGATTGAGAGAGTGAGAACCTTAAGTGCTAACCCCCCCCAAATCTAAGCCCCCGTCCCCTCAAAAAAAAAGTAAAGTGCTGGACCACAAAGCCCCTAGGCCCAACACGACAGCACATGAAAGCTTCAACGCTGAAGCCAAACAACCTGAACCCTAAACGCTTGGAACCTCTGAACCCCTCAACTCTCAATCCTAGAACCCCTAAACCGCTATAGATCCCTCAGAGGAACCCTTACGGAGCTTTCCATCAGAACTCCCGAAACCCTCACCCAGAACCCGAAAGCCTTAAAGCGCGCATCCGGGAAGCAGGCGAGCTGGGGCTCTTGGGCCTTGTGCTCCGTCGGGCGGAAGCTTGGACTACGCTTGAAAGGACTTAGGTTTACGGGTTAGGGTGTAGGGCTTAGGGTTTAGTGTAGGGCTCGGGAAGTTTAGGGTTTAAGGATTAAAGTTTTGGGCTTAGGGTTGTACGGTTAGTATAAGAGTTCCTTGAATGGCTCCTTCAAAGGCTCGCTTCAGAGATCGTGCAGGGCTCAGGGTTTGTGGTCGGTCTCATACTTAGGGATATCGGCTATAAGACTTACTACGAAAATTCTATGAAGCTTTGACGTTTTAGGATTTAGAAGGGTTGGTGGATGTTTGAGTCGGTGGGCCTCAACCCTGACGGTTCAGATGTCAGTCATGTCCGCCTCCACGCACTCTGAACCTTCTGAGTTTCAGGTTTCTGAATCCTTCGCCTCCTTCGCCCATGCAAGCATTGATGAAGGGAACCTGTATCCGTTTGACCGCCCCCAAACCCTAAAGCCTAAACCCGAAACCCTGCGACCCCAACAGACATAAGAGCCCACCCCAGGATCCTATCCTCAGATTCAAAGAGCCACTGGCACCCCAAACTTGAAAAGAATCTCCGGTCGGCAACCTTGGGTTTGAGGTTTAAGGTTTAGAGGTTTGGGTTTAGGGTTTAGGCTTAACCCTAAACCCTAAAGCCCGAAACCCAAACCCTAAACCTCTAAACCCCACACCCTAAACCCCTAAACCCGTAGGCCGTAACCGCTTGCAGACGGAAAAGAGCGCTAAAAAACACAACTAAACCTTAAGCCCTAAACCCTAAACCGTTCCCTAAGAGATCAAGGCATCTTTTGAAGCCCAGCGAGGGGCAAGCCATGGGGACCCCTCCGGGCCGAGGCGACGATTGCTGCCATTACGTATTGCACGTGCTTGGAGATGCCGAAGAAGGCGGGGGGGGGGTGCTAGGGTCTTAGGGTTCGGAGTTTATATGGTCTGGAGGGTTCAGGGCTTATGACCTGGAGTTTGGGGTTTAAGGGTCTAGGGCTTATTAGGGTTGGGAAGTTGGGGTTTAGGGTTTGGGCTTCAGGGTTGAGGATTTTATCAGGGACATCGCGGGCTAAGACCTGCAGGCATTTAACGTTTTTGTGCTTTGGGCTTGGGACGCTTCCGGTTTGAGCATGGGAGTGAGGTTTGGAAGGGGCTTAAGGTTCAGAACTCCTCCTCCCGCGACCACAACCGAACCTCAACCCCCTAGATCCGAACCCGGAACCACGAGCCTTGAATCCTAGCTCCTAGACCTTCAACGCTTGACCCTGCCAAGACTTCAGCGGGCTGCAACAATTAGAATTTGTGTTGGTGCTTCCTTGCGATTCATAAGGATCCCTTTCGAACAGTATTTCGAAGAATTCAGGCTGCTAAATTGCACCTGCACCTAACATCGGCAAGAGCACCAGCTGCCAACAATGTGCAACGAAGGGCGGCTCCGAGTCGGAACTCGGAGCAAAGCAACTACTTGCAGATGCTTGCGAAGATTTCGTACATGCTAAACTAACAAAGCCAGCGTTGTCTTCTGACTGACTAGCAATACTGTCCCTTAGGCCTTGTTATAAAATTCCACATAGTAAGGCCCTGAAGTTTGGGCGAATTGTGCTGCTTCAGTCTTCTGCTGAACTCTTCCATGCAAAGTCATTTCTGATCCCTCGTATAATGTACAGTATTCATCCCCTCCATGATCTTAGGTTACCCAGCAAAACTTCAAGTCCCAAACTTCAGAACCCCCAACCCTTCAACACCTTGTACACCCTTGAACCCGACAACCTTGTGCGCTAAAGCCCTAAGGTCGTCAGCTAGCCTTTATAGGATCCCTTAAACAACCCGTCAAACAAAACCCAACCCTTCTAGTACCCCTGTAGCAATATAGTACTCTTAAAGGCACCCTTAAAGGGATCCCTTAAAGGAGCCCTTATAGGATCCCTTTTCGGAACCGTTTTAAACACGAAGCAACCACCCAGACCAATCGCATCCAAGGCTTTCATCAAGGCCCTCGATCGGCATCACGAGGCCCATCCCCACATGGTCCTACTTGGAGGGTCGGGGGGCTTAGTAAGTAGGTAGTAAGTAGACTTATAAGTACTCGAACAAGGGACCCTAAGAGGGGTTATGGTACTTATAAATCACTAAAATAACCAGTTAGTCCCCCGACCCTCCAAGCAGGGTCCTAAGCACTTGGGTTTGGGGCTTAGGGCTTGGGGTTCAGTTTAGGGTTTAGGCTTTGGGGTTTAGGGCCTAGGGCTTAGGGTTTAGAGTTCAGGGTTTAGGGTCCTACGTACTATAGGGGCCTGAAATACTTAGCTATACTATTTTGGGGGGGTTCCTTTCTACAAGTATAGTCTAATGGGCCCCAAATCCCTATTGTGATTACTACGGCCCCTATATTACCTAGTCAGTAGGTTGAGGGGTTCAGGGTTTAGGGGAATCAGGGTTCAGGCTTTAGGGGAACTGCTATAATTTAACGCCATACCCTAAACCCTAAACCGTATACAGTAAACCCCATAAAGTTGGAAACTGGATTAAGGCCAAATGGTGCTGGGATTCCCTATACAGTACTCTTAAGGATGGAGGCTCTGGGGTTTCCAACTTTTGGGCTTCTACTGTAGGACCCTTTGGGTTCATGTATTGGGACCCATGGGCTCGGAGTTTGGGGTTGGGGTTGTAGGGCTTAGGATTCAGGATTGAGGATTCAGGGCTGAGGAGTTAAGGTTTGGGATTTCGGGTGTAGGATTTAAGGTTTGGGCTTCAGGGTCAGGAAACTAGGTTCTAGGCTCTAGGAATGCCTCGGATTTGGGTTTATGGGTTAGGCTCAGTATGGTTTAGTACTGTGGTTCCCGACATAGTAACTACTCTCTCTTAAAGCTATAGGAGCGCTCCACACATCGATCATCAATGTAAACCTTTTTTGGGGAGGAGAGGTTATCAATCAAGGGTCTACCCATAGGCTCCAGAGTAGTTCCTTTTTGGGAGTACCCTATAGAATTCTAAACATGAGGCCCCAAAAGGAACTAATATGGAGACTCTAGGTAAAAGGACTGTGTGAGGATTGAGGGCGGCAGAGTCTGGGTCATACTGCTTTAAGCTTACCTAAGACACACCACCTTTCTGTCCTGTATCTGGTTCAGCCGCCTGGGCATTCCGACTGTAGCAGGGAGGGAAAGAACCGTCAAAAAGAAAGGTCCCTAAACCCTCAACCCCAAACCCTGCACCTCGACGGCCCCTTCTTTGGAGTCCTGGAAAGCCCGAGTGCCTGAGACTCGAAGCCAGGGCTGAGGAGTTGCAGGGTTTAGTTTTCGGGGCTTCGGGTTTTGGATGGTTTTGGGTTTGGGGCCTAAGGGGTTTTAGCGCAGGGCTTTGATTTTAGGGCTTTGGGCGTTTAGGGCTTAGGGTTTAGGGCTGAAGCAAGAATTCCTTTGAGCCCTAAGCTCGTCTGATTAGTCTGTAAACCGCGCTCTGCAGTGAGTCCCGACTCCTTTTGAGACCCGGCCGGTTTGGATCCTGATTCCTAAATGCTAAACCCTAAACCCTAAACCCTTACATGCTAAGACGCATAAGCCCTGCGAGCCCCATAAACCTCATAACTACAACTACTCCCATAAACCCAGTCTACTTAGAACTTCGAATCCTTAACCCACAAGCCCTAACTCCTAAACCCCTAGACCCAAGCCCCTAATCCGCTTTTAGTACCCATGAAACTTCCCTTTCAAGTAGCCCTTACCGGAGCACGGCCCCGATTTCCTAAACCTTGAGCCCTTTAAGGAACCCTTAGCCCGAGGTTCCTAAACCTTAAGCCGCTAGGGGAACCCTTAGCACAGAATTCTCAGACCCTAAGCCCTTAACTGAACCCTCCACCCAAAATTGTTGATTCCGTTGGCTCCCTGTCCTCATATCAGGAGACCGAGCACTTCGAATCGCCATCACCTCATGGGCGTTGATTTGTGCGGGTTCGTAGGCTTCGTTTTGGAGTTTAGGGCCGGGCATATCAGGATCACAGGGTGACCTTAGGGTTTAGGGCTTTGGGCAGCTGGTTTATTTAAAGGCTTTCTGCAAGGCGGGTTCAACAGGTTTGGGGTCAAGGGTGTGGGTTTTGGGTGTTTTGTTGCCAGGTGGGTTCAGGGAAGTCGGGCTGTCGTTGCTTCACGAAGGACTTAAGGTAAGGCTTCCAAAGTGGGGCTTTGGGATTCTGGAGATCATGGCATGTACAGGGTTCTACTTATTTCACTCTTGAGGTTCAGGGTTTGGGTGTTTGGGGTTTTGGGTTTAGGGTTTGCAGTAGGGTGGCGCATAAGCCAAAACCTTTTGCGACACTGCACTTTCGAAAGCATCGTGGTATGACTGGAGGGCGTTTTTTCTCTCCCACCCCACGCCATCTGAGGCGGCCAAACCATCCAAACGGCAGGGCTGGTCCTGGTCCCTAGGAGAACCTGCTGGGGTAAGGGGGGCCGACGTGGTCCCCATGACCCCGGAGAGGCGGCAGGTGGATTTTGAGTTTAGGGGTTTAGGGGTTTATGCTTAGAGTTTAGGGCTCGCTCCTCAGTTTGCGAAAGACCAGGAGCCCAAATACGCGTTTGAATAAGGTTTTGGGTACATATCATTCTAATGCATCAAATAACTATTAATCCTAATGTTGGGGAAGAGCTCAATGCACTCTGCAGGCGGTGGTGGCACAGGAGCAGGAGCCGGAGCTTTTGCTGGAATACCGCCAGGATTCTGGATTCCTGACTTGAAACCACGACGGTTGGATACACCAGTTCTTTTGGTGACTGCATGCAGGACATTGAGATGCAGGCAAGGGCGGAGGAACATGGGCTGGAGCGCCCCAGGTTTTTTGGTGCTTGGTTGTGGACTCTCCGGCATCGCGGACGCAGCCTCCTCGCCTGCTCAAACCTCACGACCAAGGAGGAGCACAAGGCCGCGAAGTAAAGGAAGCGGCTGGAAGGCCAAACGAGATGTTGGAGGAAGAAAGCGGGAAGAAGCATTCGGGGTTAGTACCATACTTAACACTATTATTATGAGCTGACCTGTACCATGACTGTCCTCCCTGTGTGCTCGGGTTGCGCTTGAGGCATTGCTGGCCGAATCAAGAGCAGAATGGCCATGCATCCTAGCCGCCCCGGCCCAACTTCGCCCTTACCCCGAAGCAACTGGGAGAACCTGAAGAAGCGAATTTTTAACCCGAACCCTACAACCCTAAACTCTGCAGCAATCGAGGTTGACACGACTCCACGGCGCACTTGTGGCCAAGGAGACGGGCACTTGGCCCTTTCTCACGAAGGCATCGCTCGGAGATGTCAGGTGGCTGGATGTCTAACGTTCGCGCAGGTTTGGGGAAAACTTCCAACACTAAAGCCCTTGGCCCTAAACCGATCAAGGCTTAGACTCTAGGGATACCAGATGGGGATGTCTTGCTTTCTTCAGGTACAGAGTTACAATTTCTCTGCTGTACTAAATCAGTGCCTCTTATTTGGAGTCAGGTTTTGGGTTTAAGGCGATCTATCTCGCAATGGATACCCTGAGGCCATCATCCCACCAGCTCCCTACTGTTATTGCCAGGGTTCTTCCAGCTCAACCTTGAAACGATACGTAATAGAGAACAGCCTGTTTTTGCTGGGGTCGCTATTCTGTGCCCCTGGCCCCACACCCTAACCCTAAGACTTCAACACCGAATCCCAAGGGTTGGTTCGCAGATTCGTATGACTACTTGGAGGTTCATGGGTAGCTATCGGAGAGGCGTTATAGGTTGTAGTTGCCATCAGAATCAGGAACCTCCCCCTAAACCCTAAACCCTAAACCTTGCTTGCGCAGGCCACAGACCGCCTGTTGCTTGGCAGCTCATGCAGCCGAGACTCACGGAATGTTAGGGTTTTGGAGTTTATAGGTTTTGGGGTTTATGAGTTTCGGGGTTTAGGGTATAGGGTTTAGGGTTATGGAGCTAAGACTAGTCACTAGACGGTAGACCTTGAACCTTATGCCCCAAAACCAAGAACCCTAAAACCCTGGTAGAACCCTGAAGGGAACCCAATACCCCTTGACCCTCTGCAACCTTGAGCCTCAGAATCGGGAACCAAACCACCTCTAGACGCTAAAGCTCAGCTAGGGATTGTAGTTTAGAGTTTAGGGTTTAGATTTGAGGGCTCGGAGCTTTCGGCATTCGGGTTTACAGCTTTCAGGGTTTGGGGTTTGAAACATCATGGCTTCGGAGTCGGAGCTTCCGCCTCGGGTAGCCAAATCCCACCCCAAGGTTGTACTACGTGAATCTCCACGCGTCGCGAGAGAGTGACTTGGAAGTAGCATATTTGTGGTGCTGTCTATGTACTTGGTATATAGCAGGGTTTGGGACTCGATTTTCTCGTGTTCAGGCGATCTGAGATTATATTTCTCAGCATTAAGAATTTTCGTGTCTAGAGTCCAGAGAACCAATTTGCACCTTGTAATGCTTTGTGGTCCAGTGTCATACCGCCTTGCGATCCGTGCCTATGTTCACGGACATGACAGTGTCACTGCGGCCTGTACAGACGAGGGTGAGAAGGGTGATGATGAGGAGGAGGTGTTCATAGTGATGATGACCATGATGTGACAGTCATGGTGATGATGATGAAGATGGTGGTGATAATGATGATGACGACGATGATGGTGATGGTGATGGTGATGACGAAGATGATTGTGATGATGTTGGCGAACACGGTTATGACGGTGGCAGAAGCAGAAAAGAAAAAAGGTGAAGTTGGACCGTCATACCCTTCCATCAGCATCGTGATCATCACCGTCGTGGTAAGTTGACACAAAACCAGTATATAACTCACCGAACAGACTTTGACGAAAGACCGCACGGCACCCTCAACCATAAGCAATCCTAAACCCTCTGAGACCCGAAGCCACAATTTCAGAATGCCAGAACCTCAGACCCGCCTTTCGTTGAGGCACTCCCGTGGGCAAGTGGACTTCGAGGGAGGGCGTCGAGATTCCAACTGACGTGGCTGTACTGATCATCTCAGGCGGCCCATGATGTCTTTTAAGGTCTACGATTTGGGGGTTTCCGAAATTAGGGGTACCTTGCTTTGGGGTCCGTCTAATAAGGATTGTACTTTTTAGGGTACTATAGTAGGGTCCCCTATGTTCGAAAACTTCCGTTTTGTTCGGTTGAGGAGTTAAGGTTAAGGCTTCAACCCAGGCATTCTATGGGTACCATTAGGGCCGCTTCCTTCAAGGAACCATAGTGACATGAAAGTTTGTACTTTTCTCGCTGGTTCCTTCAAAGTCTAACCCATGAATCACGCGGCACTCTATGGGTACCATAAGGGTGCGATGGGTTGACGTTTCAAGGATGCAGTTCAGGGACCGTGATTACCAATACTGTTCCTTAGGGGTTCCGTACTAAAACTTAAAACTAGGCTTTACCATACTCCCAAAACCCTATTATGATTATTAAGGCCGCTATACTAAGCCCTCATAATTACTGCCACGTATAGCAACCCTTACAAGCCCCTTTTCTAAGAGGAACCCTACCCTAACTACGAAGGCTCCTCTAGCACCTTAAACCCTAAAACCCTAAACCGTCACAACTTCGGTACTTCGGTGCCCTCCAGAGAGTCTATAAGAAGCCCGAGCCTTGATAGAAGACGGGTTGCCCGGGTGGTACTGGAGTGGTGGGTTTAGGGTCTTAGGGTTTAGGGTTTAGGGTGAGAGTTTGGGGGTTTTAGGGTTAAGGTTTGGGGGTTTCAGGGGTTGGGTTTTCGTGTCTTGGGGTTTAGGGAGACATAGTACCTATGGCAGCGTGGCGGTTCGCCCGTTTTTGGGGGATCGAGGAGGGCGAGTGAAAACAGAGCTCTCGGCAGCAGGGCACGGTGGACTGCGTTAAAGAGCGGGGCAACTGGTACCTCAACCAAGAGTATCAAGACGAAGAAGACGAAGACAAAGACGACTTCACCAAGAGCCTCGAATCCATATAGGGTCCTTAATCTTTCAGAGTGAGCTTTTGGGGTATATACTGTAATATCCACAAAAACTAGTTCCTTTCTTACCCCTTCAGAGTGAACCTTTGGGATATAACATCTATACTAGTTCCTGCCCTGGGCATCAAAATCGCCCAGAAGCCTTATATCTTAAAAGATGAATCCTTAGATGCTGGTTCCCATAGGCTACAAACAGGGACGACAAAGGCACATGGTTTTCCAATCATCCCTAAACCCTAAACATCCCGGCCCCTTCCATAATTAGACTCGGCCCCAATATAAAGAGCGCGAAGCCACCGTCAGAGGAGGGGCTCCAAGACCTCCATTAAGTAAGGAACATCCACGGTTCCTTTAAGGTTAAGGGATCTATAGGGTTTAGGGGACTCCAATATCCCCTTGGTTAAGGACAGGTACGTCAACTTATAGTAAGATGCCTAATATGATTTATAAGGTATGTTCAGTTTCTGGGCATTTTCATAAGATCCCTAAGATGACTTAAGGTGTATTAAGTTGCTGGGCAGGGGAGATCTACGTCTCCGAGAACAGCGGCCGCCGCATTCTAATGACGGAAGGAAGCTGCTTTGGCAACTCGGCTTTGGGTGTCTACTGGCATAAGAGTTTAGGGTTTTAGGGTTTTAGGATTTAGGGATTTAGGGTTTTAGGGTTTAGGGTTTAGGGTTTTAGGGTTCAGGGTTTAGGGAAGAGTTTACAGCGCTGAGTGTTTAGAGGGTCTGTGGGATCAGGGCTTATATGTGTCTGGGGTTGCAGCGTTCAGGCTGAAAGCCCTGAAATACAGCGTCGATTAACTGGTATATACATATATAATAGTATTCCGAAAGGAGCTTACAAACCCTAAACCAAAAGCCTCTTAAACCCCAAACCCTAAACCTGCTCTGCCCTACCCTTGACAACTTTCCTAGCATTTCAATTGATTAAGGCCCCCGTGCTTCGCTGCCTGCTTTCAGGGCTAAGCGCTGTGCATCGAGAGGGCTCTGAGAATGCAAAGACTGCACGGGTTTTCGATGTTCTAAGAATCGCAGAAATGCGACTACGGGTAAAGCTCATGATGGTAATGATAATGATAGCAGTAGCAACCATGACCGTAATCGACAGTCATAATCATAGCAATAACCATAGCCTTTGCAGCAGTTGTCGGAGTAGCTGCAGTGATCTTGCCTGGCCGGCAAAGCATCAAGTTTAATCGCCGGCAGCGACGATCTGTGGTATCTATGTCCGGCCAATAGGGCTGCAGGGGTGTTTGTTGGGTTTAGGGCTTTAAGACTTGTAGGGTATTAGTATAAGGTTTAGGGTTTAAGCTTTATAGGGCGTAAGGTTTAGGCACTCAGGTTTGTAGGGTACACGGCTTAGGGTTTGGAGAAGGGACGCAGGGTAGCAACCTTGGATTGAGTACCGTAGACTCAAGCTTCGGCCATCCTTTTCAATGAAACGGTTTAGGTACAATCTTGAGAACAGTTCATGAAGACACATTCCTGTGTTCAGCTTGATTTGGATATTTGAAGTGTGTTTCGTCTTGTGTGGTTTCAAAACTACTATTTTAGGGGTTCCTTATTATATTCGTGGTATATTGGGTTCCAAAACCCTGTTGAAAGTTTTAAGGACCCTATACTAAATCCTTGTAACAGCCCTTATGGTAGCCCCTATAGACCCCTTTAACACGGAGACCTCAGTCTAATTATTAAGGCCTCTATATTAAACCACTCTGCACACCAGAACAGGAATCCTTGACACAGCAAGGTGAGCACATACTCATCGGTCTCCCCACGCAGACGCTGAAGATTGAGCCCAAGACAGCGTGTGAACTGCAGATGATGAACAAGCAGACCTTCGCGCCCCGGACGATGCACTAGTTTGAGAAAGAAGTGCTATAGGGGCCTAAACTATTTTGGGGGGTTATACTTATTAATTATAATGATAGTATATTGGGCTTCAAAACCCTATTCTGAGTTTATTGGGCCCCTATACTTGTCCGAACAAACTAGTACTCGGATATTCGGTGTCGGGTTTCGAGCGAAGTATCGCAGAGGTGCCGGGGTTCTTAAGCTTTCGAAGTTAAGCTTTGGGCAGGTATGGGGATTAGTTGCAGGAGTCTGCATCCCAAACCTACTTGAAGGTTCAATTAGTAGGATGCAAAGCCACATTTTAGGGGACTTATAGCCCTACTTAAAACTGCCCACGAAACCTTCAAATCTAGGGTTTAGGGTTTAGGGGATGAGCCATATTAGGGGACTTATAACTTATAAACCTACATAGCTACCTTAGCTACCCTGAGGCTCGTGAAGCGACACGGAAGCTAGGGGCTCGGGCAAGTCTGAGGTTCTTGGCATCGGTTTCTATTTGGAGGCTCATGGGTAGTTATAAGTGCGGATATAAGTCCTCTAACAAGGACCAGAACTATCGTTACCTTATTTAAACCTGACTGACAACGACCCCTCAACCAGCATAGTTCTCGAAAGTAGGATCCTTTTAGGGTCCTTCTTATAAGGGTGCCGTGCTAAATTTTGGGACGTAACTTTTTACAACTATCCGGATACCTCCCGACCCGTAAACCGTAAATCTGGACCCAGAACCCATCGTTTCTGGAATCCAAAGGAGAAAATCATGGCCGAATGCCAAGACGAACGGGATGCGGCCGTGGCGGGCTTGGCTGCGGTGTTCGGGGTCAAAAGTAGTTTGGATATCACCAGCGCCGGAAGTAATGTCGGGGCCTGAACAACTAATCACGGATGCTGTTCCGTCGACATCCCTACCTTCTATAACTGCATTGTAGTGTACCGCGAAGCCCTATTCTAATCATTAAGGCTCCAATGCTGCTAGCGCTTGACCCATCAGTCGTTCCTACTTTTCATCTGTAGTCTAGAGGATCTGGAACTTAGGTTTTTGAAAGGGACCCCCCCGTGGAACGACACAGCTCCCCCTTCACGTGGTTTGCAGGGCCTTGCCATGGTACCCTGTTTGTGAAAGATACTGAAGCAGAGATTAGAGTTGAAGACTCCAAACCGGCATGGGAGAGAAATCGGAGCCGGTCCGGCAACCATGATGATATTGCCAAAGATCCCAGGCACGAGCCACCACAAAGCCCAACAAAGCAGGGACGGGAGAGTCCTCCAACAATTATGATACGAACAAAGACCCGGAGAGTCCACCAACCGTAGTTGTTAATGGAGTACCAAGCGACCCCAAGCACACCCAACCCCCAAACCACACCACAACACAGGAGCGAGACTCCACCACCATTGGTGCGGGCAACCGGACCGGGATTCGCGCACCAGTCTCGACACTCAACCGCTTAAAACAAAAAGCCCTCAAGCCCAAGACCCAAAAGTGTAAACCTGACATCCCTGAAACCCTAAACCCCGCACCCTCGTTTTAATTGACCTCAAAACCTCCAACTCCAAGGTCCAGGGCATCTTGAACGAGATGGCAATCAAAGCAGAAGTCAAGCTCGGCGTGGCGCGAGGCGGGTTAGTGTTCTAGGATGCAGTGTTTCTGGGGACGCTGTTTCAGGGCATAGGCTTAGGACATATAAGACCCGCCTCATTATGATTCACACTAAACTTATAACTAACCCCTAAACCCTAAGCCCTAGGCCACAAACGCCGACACCTCTAAACAAACCCTTAAACCCCTAAACCCGACGCCCCCAAACCCTATACGTCCTAAACCTTAAACCCTGAACCCTAAACCCTCAAGCCCAGGATAAATACAGCTTGTTTAGGCAAAGCAAAACACAAAACCCGCACAAAACTCCGGACCTGAACCCTAAACAGTTTGTATCAATTTGTAAAAACCCTAAACCCTAAAACCGGATCAAAAGAGCGGAGGCGCATCCGAGATCCTGAGGCGGAGCGCCCTTTTCCGGGCCTCGAGCCAGGAGTTTTTGGAGCAGATCCGCAGCTTGGCGTTGAGTGTGTAGGGCTCCTTTAAGGGGAGCAACGGGTTCCTTTAAAGGGCTCGCTGAGGGTACTGTCAGGGTTTAGGGTTCAGGGTCTTGGCGTTGAAGTTTTAAGGTTTAGGGTGTAGAGTTTAGGGCTTCGGCGTTAGGGCTCCATTGAGGGTTCCTTTATGGGTTCCTTCAGGGCGCCGTTTCGACATCGATTATAGAGTACAATACGGTTGTTCGGGTTTGGGATCCCCAGGGAGTAAACCCCATAGTAGAGGCATCACAACCCATATACTACTTTGCAAAGTATATTGGGGGTTACAGGTAGTGTCTAGCTTTTGTTTAGGGCTTATAGGTTTTTTGTTAAATCGGAAAGGTCATCCTGAAGCAAAACAAGAGTCGAAACGCTGGCGCTTGATCTGGAACGCTTCCGAACCAGATCGGCTTATTGATTTCTTGGTGTTGCAGCATCAGGACCATGGTGACGTAGTCACGGTCCAGACACCTCGCGGTGTGCATTCTCCAGTAGCCACTGGAGAGGGACACGACGACGCCTCTCTCACATACGCATTTCGGGACCTCGAAGCCCTGTTGGCCGCTGGCGAACCGGACTGCATTTACTGCAAGGACGGACGCCAGCGGTTGGGACATGAGCCTTTCAGCCGCCATGTTTTTTGGACTGCTTGGGAACTCCGCGTGGCTCGTGGCAGTGGATCGAGCCACCGTCGCACGCTGGTCATGATCGGTTTCTTGCAGAGTTCAAGGCTGGTAAACGTTGGAGACCGAGTCCAACCGGTTTGGCAGTACGGGGTCTGGAAAGGCTCCCTCAGAACGTTGCATGGGAAACGCTTGGTTGGTGGTCTTTCCGCTGTTGGTCCCTTGGTGCTTAACACTCGGAGCGCAATCGCTCCGGGTTTGTTCACAGCTGACATGGAGGTTCAGCTCGTTTCCATCTGAATCCCAAACCCGAAACCCCAAACCCGAAGACCAAAACCCCTAAACCCCCAGGCCCTAGACCCTAAGCTCTTGAATTTCTACACGGCCCCGTGATCAGTCCAAGTCTAAGAACAGTGATGCCGAGGACCTCGGATGTATGCCTGCCTCATCAAGGCCGAGCCACGACAAACCAAGAATAGGGTTTAGGGTGTTCCGGGTAAACCCTATAAACCCTAAACCCTAGGGGTTTTGGGTTTAATGTTTAAGGTCTAAGTGCTTGGAGTTTAAGGGCCGAGAGCAAAGCGAAAGAACAAACACCTAGTTTGCGGTTTTGGAGTGTGCGGCTTACGGGTTTGTTGTGTGGGGTTGAAGCCACCCCATTGTATTGACTGCCTTACAAAAACTTCCTTTCAGGCGCTTTCACATCCCGGATGAATTTACGACCGAGGGGTGGGGGGTCCGGGGTTAGTGGCTGTGAGCAATTATAGGTGCAGCTACCTTTTCTTCAAGTCCGATTCTTTTAGCAACCCCTTAAAGGCCAAATCCCTAAAGATCGAATCAGCAGGCGGATCAGCTCCTGGTGGATGAGAGGGAGGTGGCCGACTGCATGTTCTTCATCGTGAGGCCGCGGAATCCCGAGCTTTATCGTTTTGAGCTTCAGGATAGTACGAGTACTACTAGTACTAGGACTACTAGCACTACAGGTGCATCCGGGGATACAGTAGTAGTAGTAGTAGTAGTAGTAGTAGTAGTAGTAGTAGTAGTAGTAGTAGTAGTAGTAGTCGTCGTCGCCGTAGTAGTAGTCGTAGTAGTAGTCGTAGTAGTAGTCGTAGTAGTAGTCGTAGTAGTAGTAGTAGTAGTAGTAGTAGTAGTAGTAGTAGTAGTAGTAATAGTAGTAGTAGTAGTAGTAGTAGTAGTAGTAGTAGTGGTAGTAGTAGTAGTAGTAGTAGTAGTAGTAGTAGTAGTACTAGTAGTAGTACTAGTAGTAGTGGCAGTGGCAGTGGCAGTAGGAGTAGGAGTAAGAGCAGGAGTGGGAGCAGGAGTAGGAGGAGTTTAGAAGATTCCTCCTTGCTAATTCTACTTCTACTTCTACTCTTCTTCTTCCTCGTCCTTGCACTTATTCTCCTCGATGCTCTTGTTTCTGACACTGCTTCTAGTAAGGCTCGTTCTGCTACTACCTCAGCGACGGCAGTGCCTGCAGCACGACTTCAGCTAAGACCACGACGAGGATCAGCTGGACGACGACGACGACTTCTTCACCACCGCTACTGCTAGAAGAATGCTGCTGCTTCTTTTTGCCACAGCTGCAGCTAGCTCGCACATGAAAAACAGCCGCTGTGTTTTGTTTCGCTTAAATGCTACTGTCTTTGCTGCCATTGTTTGCATCGCACTGCTATTGGTGTTTACCACTACTTTGGATTATTTCTTCTTGTTTCGATCACGTGACTGATCGCTACCGTAGAAAACCAACAAAGTCCGGATGGTGCTATCGACCACGGACGCCATGAAGTTCTAAGTTAGGTTCTAAGGCGTATAAACGATAAGCTGGAGCGGTGCTTGCAACGGCAAGAATAGCAGAACACTGAATACTAGTCCAAAACCCTAAACCCGACTCCATAAACAAAACCTGCCCCAAACCCCTACACTCCAGACCCTAACTTAAGCCACCCCCGACGATCCAACCTAGATACCATTGTGGCAATTTGGATCTTTGAACTTATTGATGACAGTAGAGTAATTATGGGTCCGGGAAAGAACAACACCAGAACCTACCGAACCTGCAGGGGCCACGCAGCCGTGATGGGCGACGCGCGTGACGAAGCAGACGCGGTCCTGCGCTTCAAAGCAGGCACTGCTCAGCTCAGCCCGAATGGGTTCAGGGGGTTTAGGGTTCAGGGCTGTCGTGGTTACCCAAAAGGTTCTGGAGCTTGCATTATGTTGTGGGTGGCTTTATAATGTAGGAACCTGATTAAGAAACCCTGACCCTGCAACCCCAAAATAGTAGGGTTCATTTCAGGAACCTTAATAAAGGCCCAAGGTTTCTTCAGCAGGTTCCTACATTAGACTGTTTGAAGTTTTATGAATTATGAATCGTAGGCGGAGAGGATAAGGACTTCGGGCTTTTCAGTTGGAGTCTTGCAATGTTCCAAATACCCAGCTCTTCGGATCTGCTCTAGGGGCCTTAACAATTACCTACACTATTTTGGGGTTCCTTCTTATAGAAATAGTATAATATACCCCAAACCCTGCTCTAATCATTAAGGCCCCTATATCATATCGTTGCTCTTGGATACCTGGCAAGCTGGCTTGCGCTCGAGAGAGAACCGGGTTCAATGCGCATGCAGTCCATCGGACATGGTATGCAGGTGTTTTAGGATTCGCGTTTGCTTTGGACCCATGTGGGTGGTTGTCAAAATTATGGTCCCTTTTTGGGTACCCTAAATATGAGGTGCCGTATTATACTAGGCATCCAAACGGGGACCATAATTTTTACAGCCACCCAAATGTGGTTTTGCTTTGAAGCCGAGAGAGATTTCAAGGTCCGACCCCCGACCCTTCGGCCGTTGAGGATGGCTCTGCAGCTTCAGGTAGCTATACTTGTAGTGACTTGTAACCCCAATTAAGGTGCATATACCCTTGTGCTTACTAAGTCCCATGATCCTGCAGCTTCAGATTTCGCTTCTGAGTGGGAAGTCCGTCTCCATCGAGGTGGGAGTTTCCGAAAATAGGGGTACCTTATTTTGGGACCCTTATAATAAGGATCCTACTATGTAGGGTACGAATTTAGGGTCACCTATTTTTGGAAAGTCCCAGGTCGATCCCAAGTCATCCCTCAGTTCTCTGAAGCATCGGGCGCAGAAAGCACTCGGTGTGGGGCGCAGCAGGCTGCTCTTAGGGACCGGTGAAGAGCTTAGAGGAGCATCTTCCGTCGAAGCTGCAGGCCTTTCCTCAGGTGATGTCTTGTCGCTCAGCACGAAACCGATGGAAATCTGTCGCTCCAACCGCAACTTGTCGGCCTTTGCGGCCGTGCTCTCCGACGGATCTGCCGTGAGCTGGGGCATTCCTCAACATGGTGGCGACAGCAGCGCCATCCAGGACCAGCTGCAGAATGTCCAGGACATTGCATGCTCCTACAGTGCATTTGCTGCAGTTCTGGACGACGGCTCCGTTGTAACTTGGGGAGATGTTCGTGATGGAGGTGATTCAGGTCCAGTTCAAGATCAACTCAGGAATGTGCGAACGATCCAGGGCACCGGGTCTGCATTCGCAGCCATCTTGGATGATGGCTCCGTTGTGACCTGGGGTTTGGGAAGGAGTGGTGGCGATAGCAGCTCCGTCCAGGACCAGCTCCTCAACGTGCAGCAGCTCTTTTCTTCAAACTCTGCTTTTGCTGCACTGCGGCAGGATGGAAGAGTGGTAAGCTGGGGCAGTGAGAGGTGTGGTGGCGACAGCAGTGCCGTCAGTGATCAGTTGACGGATGTGAAGCTGATCTGTGGCAATAGCTTCGCCTTTGCCGCAGTTGTCGGCGACGGGTCCGTTGTAACCTGGGGCTGGCCCGAGCGCGGTGGAGACAGCAGCCAGGTGCACACCGAGCTGCGAGAAGTTCAGCAGATCCGTGGCAGTGATTGTGCCTTCGCTGCGCTTCTCAGAAATGGCTCTGTGGTGACCTGGGGCATAAGTGAGTCTGGTGGGGACAGCCAGGCCGTCCAACCGCAGCTGCAGGGGGTGAAGCAGATCTTTTCATTCGAGGAAGGGTTTGCGGCCAGTCTCATCACCGGATCTGTGGTTACCTGGGGTCGCCCCCAGTCTGGTGACAGCAGCTCCGTCCAGGACAAGCTCAAGAACGTGCAAGACATCCAAGGTAACGCCACTGCTGTGGCAGCGCTACTTCAGGACCCACTTGGAGGGTCGGGGGACTTAGTAACTGGTTATTTGGGGGACTTATAAGTACCATAACCCCGATTAGGGTCCCTTTCAGGGTACTTATAAGTCCACTTACTACCTACTTACCAAGTCCCCCGACCCTCCAAGCAGAACACCCCAAAGCCCTATACGGTAAACCCGAAACCGCCCAGAAACCCTAAAGTCTTCATATCTAGTATGATATGCCACCAAGCCTTATTCAGATTATTATCATTGTTATCAGTGTTATTATTATTGTTGTTATTAATATTATATACTTCAGGATGGTTCCGTGGTGACGTGGGGCCGCCCTGAGCATGGAGGTGATAGCAGCTCGGTGCAGGCGCAGTTACACAACGTTCAGCACGTCAGAGCCTGTCGGAATGCCTTTGCAGCCGCCTTGGGTGATGCTTTATTGCTCTTAGAATCATGTCTTATTTCCATTACAATACAACTCTAGGGGATCAATAAGAATAATGCCTTTATTCTGGTTCTAAGAGCGGCTGAGGATGGGTCGATCGTCAGCTGGGGCACCTTTGGGAGCAGCGATGCCTTGGAGAAGCCTATGGCCTCTGCTGCAGCATCAGCTTGCGTGGAGCGCCTAATGGCCCCACATATGGGGGTTTCCGAACAATAGGGGCTTACCGGGGTACCTTATTTTGGGGTCCTTATAAGAAGGATCCTACTATTTAGGGTATATACTACATCAGGGTCCCGTATTCTCGGAAACTCTCTAATGGCCCCAGATATAACAGCACAAGCTTAGAGCTCAAAGGAGTTCGACTTGGGCAAGTTTGATGCTTTGTGGACCAAGAGGAAGCATAGGTGTTGAAGCTTTGAACGGCGATGATACTATGGTATGTCTCTATTGGTTCTAGTCAAATCCTTTCCCCCATTATATGTTTTGATTGTTGTCAGGGTGTTCGTTTGTCTCTGCTGTCACTTTCAGGAATCTTGCTCCTGCTCTGGCTCTTGATCCTGCGCTGGCTGTTGCTCCTGCTCCTGACGCGTGCTGTTCTCTGGCTCCTGCCCTTGTCCTTGCTCCCAGTCCCTGCTCTTTCCTCCTGAAAAGGCTAGTGAAAAAACAGCAGAGACGATTTCCGGTGGGTTTTTCGAGAAGTGTTCTTCTTGTTATTATGGTGCTTAACCCATGGTGAAGGGAGGGCATAAACCACACCGCAGCAGAACACGATACACGGAGCCCCTCCAACTCTAAACCTAAAGCCTTCAAGTTTTAATCCTTCAACTCGCTAAACCCTGAACCTGAAACCCCAAACCCTCGTTTAGAAGCAGCAAGATCATGGCGATCTTGAGTATGCAAGGCTAGAGCATCCCGCCGGGAATGCCCAGCTCGCCACCGTTTAGGATGTAGGGTTTGGGATTCAGGACTCGGGGCAATGGGGTCGGTTGAGGTTTAGGGTTTAGGGTTGTGTTCTTTTCAGCTCCGGACTTTTTTGGCACGTGAGTTGGGTGTCCGCACGTCCCCAGGACTGTTTGAAGAAGCAGGGCCTTTGCTGGCTTTTGACAATTAATATAGGGGCCTTACTAACTACCTGTTCCTTTTTTTGGGTACCTTTTGTTATTAGTATAATGGGCCCCAAAACCCTTTTTCTACGTTACCCCGGCCCCTGATCTGGAAGCATCGTAATTCGCCAACGTCAATGTACGACTATCATGAGGGGCCTGAAAAGTGACCACTACTCTTCCGTACGGTTCCTGAACATACTCATAGCAGAAGATACCCTCCCCAGAGAGCCCAATACCCCTTAATCAAGAAATCCATATTAAATCATAGTATGAAGCCCCTTAGAATTTAAGGTATGTTGCTTAATCAAGGAATATAGCTTAAATTATATTTGGGATCGTACTATAGTGCTTTTCTTTACTTGAGGGATATTGGAGTCTCTAGGTACTCATAGCGGAAAATACCTTCTAAGAAGCAAAATTATTCAGGCCCCCACCCCATCGCTGTGCGAACTCTCAAGCAAGACATGCGCGACAAAGGGGTTTAGGGTTTAAAGCCCTGCCAGAAACGCCCTTTAGCCTTGCGCGCCGTGCTTTGATGTAAGATTCGCCAGCTGGCGGCTGCTGTTACAGGGGTATACTATCATGAGCAAGCTTTGGAGTTAAGTGTTTACGGAAACCCTAAACCCTAAACCCTAGTGTTGAGGTTGACCCTCAGGGTTCAACAACATATTGAGCAAGAACCTGCCGACACATCGGCTGTGATCCCATGTCAGTGTTCTTGTTTCACTTGGAGGGTCGGGGGACTTAGTAACACAATGTGTTCCTTAAGGGCCCCTTTAACGGGATCTATAGGGATTCTATGAGGGTTTAGGGTTTAGGGGACTTAGTAACTGCTTATTCTAGGGACTTATGAGTACCATAACCCCAATTAGAGTCCCTTTTAGGGTACTTATAAGTCTACTTACTACCTACTTACTAAGTCCCCCGACCCTCCAAGCAGGGAAGGCGAACAGGACGGTCTGGGGTTTAGGGTTGAGGGGCGTCAGACTAAGTGTTGGGCGCGTCGTGATTTAGGACTTGCTATAGGAGCCCAAACAAATACCAATACAGTTTTGGGGGTTCCTTCTTTCAGTTATGGTATGGTATACCCGGACCTCAAAGCCCGGTTCTAATTTGTACGGCCCTGATATTAACGGTTTGGGCTTAGCTCTCAGGTCGATCTCGGTTCGGTGCAAGGCCAGGTCAGAAGCCCTGAACCCTGCCATAGGGTTTAGGCTTTAGCAACGAGGACCCCCCAAGTGCCCGTTTTAGAGAGCCCTTATAATCTTATATGGTGGATACTCAGGGTAGGATTAAGGGGGTCCAGGCAATCTCTGAAGCCTAAACCTTGGTCTAGGGGTTTCCGAAACTAGAGAGACCCTAATCTAGTACCCTAAATACTAGGATCCTTATTATAAGGACCCCATAACAAGGTACCCCGAATTTTCGGAAACTCTAAACCCTTATAGAGCCCTTTAAAGGAACCCTTACGGATCCCTTCAAGGAACCCTTACAGGATCCCTTTAAAGGTACCCCCTAATTTTCGGAAACTCCCATATCCTCCTGTGGATCTCCGACATGCGAAGAATGTGCAGTCTAAATGAGCTTGGAGCCGCGTTTAGGGTTCCGACTGGAAGGCTTTTAAACGGTTTAGGGTTTAGGGTTTATAGGTTGTAAAGTTTGGTGGTTTGTTTCAGGTGTTTAGGGTTCAGGGTCTATAAGTTTTAGGTTTAGGTGGCTTGGTTTAGCTTTAGGAGCTGGACGGAGCTGGGGAAGCTTGGCATGTATTGCGAGCGCAAAGCGGTGCTTCAGGGGATGTTCTATGGGAGTCATTATAATTACCAGCGTTAATCGGTAGGGTTCCGCTTGATAAGTATACTACACAAGAGCCCAAAGCCGTTGTCGACTTATTAAGGCTCCTGTACTATATAACTCTAGTCGTAAACCTTATTGACCCCTGTCAAAAGGAGCCCTCAAGCTAAACCCAAAACCCTAAACCCAACCTCCCCTTGTCCGAGGATTCGGCGCGGTCTGTGGGTTAAGGCTTCCAGATTGAGATCGTCGGGGGTATGGGTTTCGGGCTTAGGGTTTACGGGTTCATGTGGAGAACATGATTAATGACTAAAGTCCGCGGATCCTCAGTCATTGTAGACTTACTTCTTAACTATAGGGGTCTTATTAATTTCTGTACTATTGTGGGGGCTCCTCCTTCTAATTATAGTATAACATACCCCCAAACCCTATTCTAATGATGAAGGCCCCTATATTAGGTGTTCCGCCCCCGAGCCTGCCCATGAGGACTTCTAGCCTAGCCGGGCCCGTTTGACACTGCCTCCTAAGCCCTGTGCAGGCACAGCTTGCTGCGAGTCTGCTGTACTTGGCACCTGCAGCTACTTCCCCTACGCAGCGGCCTGGTGTTTACACAGAAATGATAAGCTTACACAATTCGCCAATGGGAGAACTTTTGCTCTTCTGGCCTTATGGCCTACAACCCAACAAATGGAGGGTTCATAGGAGGAACCCGAATAAAGGCCCAAGGTTTCTTAATCAGGTTCCTACAAAATTGAAGAAGAGAGTGAGCGCTCAAGGCTCGGTCATTACCCAGCAAATTCCCTTGACTCGGGTTTAGGGTTCAAGGGTTCAGGGTTTAGGGCGAGTTATAAAGGCTTGTTCTCATCCTACACAATCCAAAATTTGTTGGTGAATGGGTTTTCGGGTTAAGCCAAAGGTCTTACAGTGTTTTACGCCTGCAAAGCCTAAGCCCTGTAAGCCCCTACCAGGCACATCTAGCAAAAACTCCTAAACCCGTACCCCTAAAACCAACCCCCTACACCCCCGAAACCCCTAAACCCGAAAACCTCCCCCCAACAGCCCTAAACCCACCAGAGGCTCCAAAGCCCTGTAATGAAGGAATATATTTTTAACTATAGTAGGGAGCCCGAAAAGAATTCAAGGTATATTCCGCAATTTGAGGGGTATGAGAGTCCCCTAAACCCTAAACCCCTATAGACCCCTTGAAGGAACCCTAGGTATTCCTTAATTAAGGGGGTTTTGGGAGCTTCTTTTGGCCCAAAGGTGCGAGCGCAGAGCCTTTGTCTAACCCTGGCGCTGGCGCGGACAGACTTCCAGGATCGATCCCATAGACTCCAAAACCCTCCCCCTAAACCCCCAATTCAGGAATACCTAGGGTTCGTTTGAGGGATCTATAAGGGATCTATAGGGTCTTTTGGGTTTTGGGTGGATCCCAGAGACTCCAATATCCCTTAGTTTTGGAATACCCAGGGCTCCTTTAAGGGATCTAAAGGGTTTAGGATTTAGGGGCTGAGCAGTTTTAGGGTATAGCGTACCCTAACCCCCTAAGGCTTCAGGATTTTTGGATGCGGGGCTACTTGGAGGTTCATGAGTAGTTATAAGTGGGGTTATAAGTCCCGTAATATGGGCTATTTTTATAGTTACCTTACTTATAAACCTACTTATAATGAACCTCCAAGTAGAGGATTTCAGGTATTGGTGCTCCGAATCTGGGCCTAGAGGTCGCAGGGGTTCTGCTTGGAGGTTCACGGGTTGTTGTCAGTGGGGCTTATAAGTAGGGCAGCTATATCTATAAATTATAGTAGGGGGCTCATGACCCCGCGTGTTATAGCTGTAAGCGGGGGCGTATTTTATAAGTAGGGTAACTATGTTGATAAACCACATAAGGGGACTTGTAAACCCACGAATAACTACCCACCATGAACCTCCAAGTGGGGTTTAGGATCGAGAGAATGGTACAAAGTTCAGACTGAATGACACTTGGATGGGCTGCGAGTTTAGAGGCCTCGGGTCGCTTTGCAACTATTACAGTACATTTCTGGGGTCTTGGAAAGGGACTTAATGTAAGTTAATGAGCTGATTATGGATCTATAGTAAATGAAACAGTTTCGTTGTTATGACAACTTAAATTAAATCCCTTACCAGGAACCCAGTACATTTGTCTTGTCTGACAAAAGCCCATACATCTTCCTGAATCACAAACCGCCACAATCTCCGAGCTGCTTCATTGAAGGTCTGATGCAAGCCTTTCCGGCAGTTGGTGTGAATTCAAAACGACGGAGTCGAAGAACAGTCGGAGGAATGCATGGTTTCTGGTACATCAAGAAGGGCGCATACCGCCAAACCCAAAGCCCTGAAGCCTATCTACCCCAAACCCAAAGCCTTCAGCTGCGCATTTTACTCTGCAGAAGCCTTAATAACTTAAGCCTCAAGCCCCAAAACCGCACGCCCCAATTCCTCAACAACCCCCGATCACACGGATAAAGAGACCAAACATCTGGCGATTTTCACAAAGGTTCCTAAACCCTAAAAAGTATAAACCGTATGAAGGAACCTTAAAAAATCCCCAACCCCTTGTGGGACGCTTAAAGAAACCCTAACTTTTCATGAAAACAGAACTGTAGCCTTGGCTTTCGGCTCCATGTATACAACTACTTGGAGGTTCAAGGGTAGCTATGGGTTGGGTTATAAGTTTATAATATGGGTTATTGGTATAGCTACCCTACTTATAATCGCAATAATAAATATGAACCTTCAAGTAGTACCTACTTGCAGGGTCAAAAGGTATCGAAATAGCATTTACTTAGCGTGTTTTTGGAGTCTTAGGGCTGGACCACGTGCAGGCGGTATTGGCCAACTATCCGGAGGAGAAGCAGATGCTCCCAGTCTAGATGGCTACACCCTAAACCCTAACTCCCACACCCTAAACCCCTAAACCCTGAACTTGCTCAAGCCCGTTGACTCAGTCGGGTTGACAAGGGCTTGCACGAATTTCGTGATTTTGGGTTTATAAAGTCTTGAGATCCGCTTACACCAAATTTCTGGTTTTTTGGTGTTGGGGGTTTCGGGTTGTAGGATTCTGAGTTTGGCGTTTAGCGGCCCCCCAAACTTCCCAAACCTTGAAATAGTAGTGACTACCTGGCTACCTGGACCTGGACATTTCGGGGGTTGTTTACCATGATTTTCGTTAATATGTCCTTAACCCTAAACATCCCTAAACCCTAAGCCCGTTGGTATTTCGGGTGAAGGCAACCGCCACCACCATTGCGTCTCTCGCAAATCCCTTGGAGCCTCGATGGCTAGGGCATGTGGTTGCCTAAATCTGCAAGGGAACCCCAAACCCCCTACAGGAAGCCTTAAGGCAACCCTTAAAAGGAGCTCGTTAAAGGAATCCTTGAAGGATCCCTTCAAGGAGCCCCAAAACCATCAACAAATCCCAGGTTTGCGAAGCTATCAGAGGACGAAGAGTCCCAGGACCGGCAGAAGTTTGGGGCTTTAGGATGAAGGGTTTAGGGTTTCGGGGTTTAGGGTATAGGGGTTTAGGGGTTTAGGGTTAAGGGGTTTAGGGGTGTAGGGTTTAGGGTTTAGAGCTTGGAGGATCGTGCGACTTAGTAAGCAATTAAGGTTGTAAGTCTGGGACTTACTAAGCCGTTAAGGCTGGAAATATCTTCTTTGGGGGTATAAGTATTTGTAACTCTAGTTACCGTAGTTATATCCCCAGGTACTGAGTTCTTGAACCTGAAAGCAGGGTTGCGGTTTTGGGGTTTAGGAGTTCGGGCTTGTAGGATTTAGGGACGGTAATCTAGGACCCAGAGTAGGCCCTTATTCCCTTTTTTAGGGTTTAGGTTCCCTTATAACCCCCTTTTAAACCAAAAAGGGCACCCTTTTTATTCCTAGGTTACTCTTGGGTCTAGTAATTTAGCGGTCAAAGAGACTAAGGTTTTGAGGTGTGGGGCAGGCGGAACGCTAGGCATTGCGTTTGCAAGGGAAGACTGGGATGGCAAACGTCGTAGTAATCTTGACAACCTTTGAACCGTCCACTGCCGGGTTTTGGATTGAAAGTCCCGAACCCGGCAGTGGTTGGGTCCTTCGGGGCTGTGCTAGACGCTCAGTGACTTCTGGGGTTTTGCGGGCGGGTCAGGGTTGTTAGAGTATCAAGAGAACCCTGACTCCCTAGAACGCTTAAAGCCCTGTAAACCCTAGACTAGCCTAACCTCCCAAACTCCTAAAGCTTAAGGAATATACTGTAAATTAGAGTATGAACCCTGGTATGGTTTGGGGTCTGTTTATTGACTAAGGGTTATACTCTATATTCTATTAGGAATGCTGATACAGTCTGAGGCCGTAAGGTATATTTGTTGAGGTTCCCTTATGGGCTTGACGGCTCCCCTTGGCGTTTATTTTTGAATCCCAATCCTGGTTATCATCATTATAACTATCATTCTTACTGCTCTTGTTCTGATCAAGATTAGCACTAGCGTTCGTGTTGGTATTGGTATTAGTAGTAGTATGAGTACCAGTAGTATTTTGATCTTGAGTTGACATCCCGAAGCCGTTGTCTGAAAAACCCGTCACCCAACAACCCCTCGCCCTTACTTAAGGGTGCTATGAAGTTCATATAGAATTGTGGAGGCTGCTTACACGCACCTGCACAAAATCAAGGTAGGCTACAGTGTGTTCCCGGCGTAGACTTTGTTTTGTTTCAGCTGCCTTTACTGCTTTGTAGCCGAGCCCTGGCTGTTGTGGCAGCCTTCGCCAAACCCAAGCTCTAACGGTTTAACATCCAAACCCTTACCTGCAGTGGATCAAAGTTCTGTTTCGTCGGCGGAGCTTCCCTAAGAGCTTTAAACCCCAAAAATCGAACAACGTGTCTGAGGACATGCTCTTTAGCCTTCCACGTGTCCTGAAGCTTCATCACCAGCTTTTCACAGCCTCGAGCTTCGCGGCTACCATATTATAGGGTCCTTAAGGGAGAGTGGGTCAAGGGAGAGGGTGCAATGGATCCTTAGGGAACCTTAAGGGAGCCTTAGGGAGCACTAGAGGGAACCAGGGATTAGTCGGTTATCTACCCCCCTTGGAGCCCCGTCCCGTAAGGCTACTAGAACCATATGATGAAGGCCTAAGGTATATCGGAGCCCAGAGAGTCAGCTGTCGTGATTCTAATGTTCCTTGTAATTGTGTTCCGCATGTAGCTGATACCTCAAATAGTTGCTTCAGAAATGACATTTAAAGGACTGTGCTACTGTCGTTCGACTGCTGATTATCTATCTGCCTTTCTACCCATGCATCTAACTCTATATCTGTCTACCTAGCTACCTACCCACCCACACGCCTACCGACCTGTCCATCCATCCATCCGTTGAGCCAGCCAGCCAGCCAACCATCCATCCATACATCCCCACGTACAAAGTACACTCAGTAGCATAGGTCCCAAATCACAAGCTCTACTTTCTCGATCCTCTCAGAAATCTGGGTACCCGAGTCCTACGTAACTGCGGGCTTCTGACTTGGAAGCATAATCTGCGACGGCGACTACGACTAAGACGACGACGACTACTACTACTTCTGCTGCTACTACTAGCACCACCAGTAGTGCCAGCAGTGTTCCTCGTAGCCGTCGTTGTCGTAGCGGGGGTGCTGCTAGTCGTTCTTGTCGTTGTCGTGCTGGCGCCGGCAGTCGCAGTCATACATGTACGTAGTTGTAGTGGTCGTAGTAGTGCTCTCACCTAGCAGTACCTTTGTTCGTGCGACTTGGGAGAAAGTCTTAAAGGAAATGCTGACCTCAGCAAAGGAAGGACTCACCTGTGAGTGGTTTAGCGCTTCGTCCTTGGAGCCAAGGCATTGACTTCCTCCGAAAGATGTGCGCGTTGGCCGATGAGGTTTCAAGAAGCACCGTGCAGTATTGAGGGTAGAAGGGCAAGCAGTTGGTGTGTTTGTGTGTGTGTGTGTGTGCGTTGGCCGATGAGGTTTCAAGAAGCACCGTGCAGTATTGAGGGTAGAAGGGCAAGCGGTTGGTGTGTTTGTGTGTGTGTGTGTCCGTTTGTGCAAGTGTGTGTGCTTTCTAGCTTGTTTCGGGCTGAGCAATAATGTTCTTTGACCGTGGTGCAGGTGCCATCACCAGATTAAATTGTTTAATGCTTGGAATTGAAGAGCTAGGGGTGGGTTTAGGGTCAAGCAGGGGGTTGTCTGAATTGAGGGTTGGGTTCAAGGATTTCGAGTTTAGGGATTCAGAGTTCTCAGCGTTGGGTTAAGCTGCTTCGTTGTGTGCTTAGAGTTTGCGGTTCACATTGGTGGGTTTGCGGTTTGGAGGTTTAGGTAAAGTTTAGGTTTCATATTCTTGGTGCAGGCTCGTCCTCTCACTGGTCCCTTGGCAGGAGCCCTACCTATGACTTTTCAATGTTCAGGCTTGAGTTCACTTGCAGGTGTACTACGCGCCGCTCGAGACAATCATCATCCGTGGCGAGAGCTGCTTGGCATTACTCTGGTTGAGTCTTAGGACTTGGAGTTTTGGAGCTTCTCTATGAACCATTACAAGTAGGCCCTAAGTAGGCTAATCAAAAGTTTAGAAATCAGCCAAGGCTGTGCCGTGGGCAAGACGGTGATGCGACTCGCCGACATCGAGCGAACACTCTTCCCAGCAATGGTGCATTAAAAGTTGAAGAATCCGGCGGCACGCTATATGAGAGTTGGGCCGATCATTATGGGTACCTTATTTGGGGGGTCCTGGTAATAGGGATCCTGCTATTCAGGGTACTATATTAGGGTCTCCTATTTTCGGAAACTCCCATATTGGTCTATTGCGGAACAATGAACTCTGCATCTGTTCTCATGCAGACCTCATTCACCAGTACCTATGTTGTTGTCGTGGCAGCGGTAATTAGCATTAGGAATTAGTAGTCGTAGTCGCAGTCGTCGTAGGTGGTCGTAGGAGTAGCACAACGTGTACGAGTGCATGTAGCGTTCGTCGCCATTCCTAGTAGTAGAGTCACGTCATGTTGTGGCTCTCATACTTGTGCTAGAACCTTACTTTTCAATTATGCATGTGCTTAATCTGTTGCCACCGCCGCACTGAGCACCATCCTTTTGTGAAGACCCCTGAACCCCTACTGGAGCCCTACGTGGGAGTTTCCGGAAATATTGGACCCTAATATACTACCCTAAATCCCTAAATAGTAGGATCCCTATTATACGGACCCCAAATAAGGTACCCCTAATTTTCGGAAACTCTAAACCCTAAACCCTTTATAGAACCCTTATAGTACCCTTATAGTACCCTTTTAGGAACCCTAGGGTACCCCGAATTGTCGGAAACTCCCACGTGAAGCCCGAGGTATGTGCTTCTGTCCGGCCTCGCCGTCGTCAAACTGACCTTCGGCGAGGAGGTCGCAACAATTCGACCAGGCAGGATGGCATGTGGTGTTGGGGTTTCAGGATTTTGGGTTTAGGGATTTAGGGTTTAGGGATTTAGGGTTTAGGGATTTAGGGTGTGGGGTTGATGACACGGGGGTTTCTCAACATGACTGTCATCAGAAAACAACATACGATCTCAACATCGGTATGAGGGTGATGATTTGCGTCTCTGTTCACTACCGCTATTGCTGCGATGGCTGCTACAGCTAGCACTTGTACTGCTGCTGTTTCTGCTGCTACTGATCCTCCTCCTCCTCCTCCTACTAGTACGACGACTACTACTGCTACAGTTTCTATTCTAGCACGCTTTCTATTACTGGGTTCTGGAGTACCATTCTTTAACACCGTCTTGCGGACCGGTTTCTCAAAGGAACCAAAATGAAATCGAAGCATATACTGTTTTCTCCATCGCTACTTCAAAGTCTCGACTAGCATCACGCTTGTACTTGTGTTGAGCTGTTACAGTCTTGGAGTGCGCATCTTCGTGTTTCGCGTGCAAAGCTTGCGGTGTACGAGCACGCTGCCTTGGCTTGCACAACTTCGAGATTCATGGCAACGGCTAGTTATAAGTGGGGGGTATAAGTAGGGTAGCTACAGTTTTAACCCATATAATGGGACTCATAATCCCACTTACAACTAACCATGGACCATGAACCTCCAAGTAGGCCCTAAACCCTATATGCCCTTATAGAATCCCTATGGCTCCCTTTAAAGGGACCCTTAAAGGAACCCTTGTAACGACCCAGTTAGATCAAGTGGACGGCACCCAATGCCTTGTCTTTCCAGCTTGCCCATGGGAAGCACCTGGCTTGCATTAAATTACAAGTGTAGAGCTCGCCACATCGAACGACCCACGCATGGGTGGTTGTCAAAATTAGGGTCCCTTTTTGGGTTCCCTAAGTATCAATAGTTGCCGTATTGTGATAGGGGCGTAAAAAGGGACCATAATCTTGATAACCACCCACATCATATCCCTTTTGAGGCATTACTGTACCAACTGGACGGCCTCAGTGACAGACCGGCGGACTCCCACTCGCCGTTTCATGCACCGAAGTTTGTGCGGGATGCCCTCGAGACCCCTTTGGGCAGCCGCAGCTTGAGCAGAACACTGCTGACGTCGGAAGACGACTTGGCACCCTGAGAAGCTTGTCTGGAGCTACTCAAGTTCAGGCAGACAAATTCCAAGAGCCTTTCCTGGCGCAGGTCTCCACACTATATCGTTCCTTCGGGTCCATGTACCCATAGGGATAGTTTACAGGTTCGTTGAAAGGTAGTTTAAGGGTACTTTAAGAGCCCTATTAGGGTTCTATAAGGTGTTAGGGTTAAGGGTCCATATACCCAAAGAGTCGCGATATTATAGATGCTTCAGTACTTACCAGTACCATTTTGGTTCCTTTTAAAGAGGGTCTATAAGTTATCTCTAAGGATTACTATAAGGGGTATGATGGGGGTTCAGTATAGGGGCCTCAATAATTACCAGTACGATGTTTGGGCTTCCTTAGTGGAAGTATAGTATAATGGGCCTCCAAACCCTATTCTAATTATCCAGGTCCCTCTATTATGGTTCCTTCCAGACGTCTGTGTCGCAATCCCGGACCTCACAATCCACGTGGGAATTTCCGAAGATAGCGGACCCTAATCTAGTACCCTGAACAGTGGGGTCCGTATCATAAGGACCCCAAGATGAGGTAACCCTGATTTTTGGAAACTCCCACATGCCTAAACCTTGAGCAGGCCACGCCAGAAAGCATGTATAGAGCAACCGGTGTGCGTTCAGGGTTTGACGGCTAAGGGTTGTGGGGTATTAGGGTAGAGCATTCCATCTACCTTCATGCACTGTAGTAGTAGAGCTCCGGGAACTGCGCAAGATGAACTTTCTAAGGCACGCCCTCCAGTCGTGAAGCAGTGAAAGGTTTTGGGTTTTGAGTTTGGGGGTTGAGTAATCAGGAGTGTGAGGTTTTTTGAGGATCAAGCTTAAGCATCCATGCGCAATCCCATGAACCCTTCACTTCTCGAAAGGGCTTTCAATGCAGGCTTAGCCCTTAAGCTAAAGGTGTTAAACGCCAAACCCTCCTACCCCCAAACTCTGGAACCCCGAAACCTGGCATCTACTCCCTTAGCCTTAAGACGCGGAACACCAAAAACGCCAACCCCTAACCCGAAACTTCGCCTTTAAAATCCGAACCTGCCTACAACACTTCTGAAACCTTCGACCAAAAACCCTAGACTCTCCTCTGTAATTCCATTACGGCCCTGAAAACCCTAAACCCAAACCTCTATAATTACATTAGGGCCCTACAAACCCTAAACCCTCCTTCATGCCAGGGATGATGGTCGGTGAGGGCGGGGCTTTGGGCATTGCGGATAAGCGGACGACGGAGATCTGCGCTCACAAGGAACCGGCTTCTGGTACTTGGAGGGTCTTTAGGGGACTTAGTAGGGGCTCCTTTCAGGGGGATTCTAAGGGTTCCTTTAAAGGGCGCTGCAAGGGTACTAGAATTTAGGGCTTAGGGTTTAGTAAGTAGGTAGTAAGTAGACTTATAAGTACCCTAAAAGGGACCCTAATTGGGGTTATGGTACTTAAAAGTCCCCAAAATAACCAGTTACTAAGTCCCCCGGCCCTCCAAGTAGGGCTTCTCTTGGAGATCATTCGAAGGTTTCTTAAAAGGGTTTACGAATGCTTCTGTAGGGTTTGTCAGGTTTCTGTTAGAGATCGTTCAGAGCGTTTGCGGTTTGTGTTACGGCCTTTTAACATGTTTCCATAGGTTTGTTGTCAATGTGCTCTCTAGGGCTTCGGAGGCTGTTTTTAGGGTTTAGGTTTAGGTTTTAGGGTTTAGGGTTGTTGTTAGATAAGAGTGCTCCTAGGGTTTGACAAGATCTGTTGAACAAGGGTGGAGCCCCCAAATCCTAACACCAAAAGCTCACAAAGCCCAAGCTCTCAAACCCTAAACCCTAAACCCTAAATTCCCACCCAGGCCTGCTTAGGCCGTACCCACCCTTTTTCTTAGGGTGCCTGGACCCAGAAGGAAACCCGGCAGTGACACCAACTCTGGATGGACAATGGGTGGAGCCATTGGAGAATGGTCGAATTCAGCCCCTGGGGCTGACCAAGCCATTAGGCCCCTTGCGTGGCGCCCATATTCGCAGAGGGTCTCAAGAGATTAGAATACCCTAAACCCGAAATCCCTTGGATTCCAGGGAATTGGGGGGCTCCTGGCGGGTCCTAGGCAGAGACCGAGCGTCTTTTCTGCCTGTGCTGCTTCTGCCTGCCACCGACCCTTCCCCCCTCCCCCCCCCCCCCCCCCTGGCGCCCCCTGGCCCCTGGGCCCCTGGGCCCCGCCACCTGGCCCTGAGGCCCTGTGTTTTGTGGTGTGTGTAGGTGCGTCCTTCCTGGCCCCAACAGACAGACCAGGGGCAGGTGGGAATTGAGGGCGTAAGCGCTAAACCCTAAAAGGCAATGTTTTGGGTGGTAGTATTCTCACAGCGGGTGGGAAAAGGTGAGGAACCAATGTGTAATTGTTTGGTGGTGGAATCGCATTCGAACGCTAGACGTCGATATGCCGCCCCCCCCACACCCCTGGGAGTGTTGGGGCGCCATCCTACATAGAAAATACTGCCGCTGCGCGGCGAGACGCCCTAAACCCTAAACCCTAGCCCGCCACTTCGCAACCCGAAGCCGAAACAGTGCAGGGTTCCGGGGTTTCAGGGTTTAGTTCTTAGTAGCTGAGTGCATACACTTTACACTTATGGGGGGTAATATTACCCACTGTAAAACTAACAGTGTACGCTTCTTGGGGGGCATATGAACTCAGCACTAGGTGATTTTAATGGGCCTAGGGCGTAGGGTTTTCGGAAATCATAAGAAGGAACCCTGAAAAGGTGGGTTCTTTTGGGTCCGGGTAGGGCTTAGGGTTTTTCCTATCCTTCGCCAGGACACCCTCGTGCGATGCATTCGCCTGCAGGGGGCCTCGATCCGCAAGGCAGTCGAACCCTGCACCCGGCTTGTGGTTTAGGGTTTCGGGCCTAGGGTTTAGGGCCCAGGGCTTAGGGTGTGTGGTTTGGCCCTTTAAAGGAACCCTGTATCGTACCCTTATAGTAACCCTGTAAAGGAACCTTAATTTAAGGTACCCTTATAGGAACTCTAAACCCTAAACCCTAAACCGGTTTGGGGTCTAGGGTTTACGGTTCCTTTGAGCCTTCCGGGCACAACCCCAATCTGTAAATGGTCATGGCTGCGGTGTGGCAACATCAGGTGGGTTCCAAAGCTGTCACGGCAGTTCTCAGAGTATGTTCGATGTTCATACTTGGTCATACGTTTTCCGTATAGCCTTTCATATGCTTAAGGTATACATAGATTACCACAAAACCCATTTCCGGCTATTGGGAGGTGGAGCTGAAAGTATAGAACTGTCGTGGTCATGCTTTCGGGGGTTCCGTGGGGTATGTAAGCCCTGCGGCCTTGGAGCCCGAACTCCAAGCCCTACTTGGAGGGTCGGGGGACTTTGTAAGTACGTGGTAAGTAGACTTATAAGTACCCTAAAAGGGACCCTAATTGGGGTTATGGTACTTATAAGTCCCGAAAATACCCAGTTACTAAGTCCCCCGACCCTCCAAGCAGACCCGTTGCAGCTCTCCTGCTAGCCCTTGCTTGGAGAATGAGGGTCATCAGGAAAGAACGGGTTCATAGGACTTACCATAACCCTGAAGAACCTACCTTTTTAAGGACCTGTATAAGGAAATCCATAATAAGGAACTCTAAAAGGGTAGGTTCTTCAGGGTTAAGGTAGGGGGTAGGGTTGTGAAGAAGGGAACTGAAGCCATGAGTGTGTCGAAGCTCCTGACATGAGTACTTGTGACTCGATCTTCTTGTACTAGGATGTCCGGTAGTACCTTTATTCCCCTTTTGTAGTCCTAGGTGCCTTGTATAGTTACCCAATACCAAAAAGGAAGCCCTTTTAATTCCTAGGTTACTGGGCATCCTAGTGTAGGCAAAATGGAGCAAGAAGATGGTCTATAGTGAACCTTTGCAAGTGGGACCATGATTTTAGGATGATTAGTGAGAAGATTCCCTCCATTTCAGGGGCATGAGGATAGTGATGTTCCAACTTTCTGGCGGCTACTGTAGAGCGCTACCACCACAACGTTTACCAGACTGCTGATCTGGATGGAGTGCTTAGGGTACAAGATCGCGAGTCTCTTCGATGAAGCTTGAACTTTGAGGGATTTAAAGTTTCAATTCAGTACGCGCCTTCAGGTTCCGCCGAATACACCCTCAACCCGTAAACCCTAAACCCCTAAACCCTAAACCCTGTCTGCAAGTTCGGGATTACTGCCCCGATGCCAGCAGCACGAAGTTTGAAGGGCTTATCCCAATGGGTAGTTGTCAAAATTAAGGTCCCTTTTTGGGTACCCTAAATAGGGTTTAGGGTTTAGGGTATAGGGACCCCAAAAGGCATCATAATTTTGACAGCCATCCCAATGAAGGCTATTGATGCCCACCCGGAAGATTGCGAAGCACTGGAAGAGACATTCAAGAAACGTGACTCGGGTATGCATTGGTATTTTTGGGAGGCCATACGACAATCGGACGGCACACTCCAAAGAGTCGGAAAAATTCCATCAAAACCCCAAGGGCGGGCCCCTTAACTATAAACCCCAAGCAAACCCTAGACCCTGAACCCTAATTAAGATAATTGAACTCTTGGTCCACACCTGAGAGTTTTCCCATCGAAAACCGTCTTCCACAGAGGGCTTCGCATTGGGTGCTACGGAGTTCCCTTCCGATAATTCGAAACTCGAAACCGAACCCTAAACCGTAAACTAGGTATCGATGTGGGATATGTTTTGATCTCACTGCTTGTTCAGTATAATTAGAGCCCAAATCATACATGGTTTTGGGGACTGTTGAAATCGACACCTAGTGAACCCCCAAACCGTACTGACATGGAAAGGCCTGCAGGCTTCCCAGAGACTCCAATACCCCTTAGTTAAGGAGTATACCTTAAATCATACTAAAGTTCTTATTAATAATCTTAGGGGTACCCCTTAGTTAAGGGGTATTGGAGCCTCTGGGTTCAACGTGTCGCAGCATGCATTTTTTGTGTTAGGGCGGACCTGTTCAGGATTTCGTGTGTTTCAAAGAGTCTTTAAGGTTCAGGGATTTCGATGACAGATGACAGCAACTGCTGCCAGTATAGCGCAAAGCGGTGTTGCGCCTGCCACGTAGTCGGATCTTTCCTGGCAGTGCTATTTTCAAGGCCTCCTGCCTCACCAGAGCTGTTGTTGCCCGTCGCGATTGTCAGTTCATCACGGCATATATATGTCGCTTGAATTCTTTAAACCATCGCTATAACCCCCAACCCCTAAGCCAAACAAGGGGGTCACAAAATCCCTAAACCCTAAACCCCGTCATGAGAAGATAATATAGGGGCCTAAGCAATTACCTATACTATTTTGGGGTTCCTTATCAAGATCGTAGTTTAATGGGCCGCAACACCCTATTCTAATTATAAAGGCCCGTGATATAATATAGAATCCTTATAGTAGCCCTTACAGAAACCCCTTTAAAGGAACCGTGTGAAACCCTATTCTAATTATTAAGGCCCCCTATATTCTAGGACCCTACTACAAATCCCTTATAGAGCCCTTTTGCTATCCCCGTAACCGAGGAACCGTAGGTTTTGGGGTTTGGGGGTTTTGAGTTTAGGGTTCAGGGTTTAGGGGTTCAGGGGTTTAGGGTTTAGGGGTTTAGGGTTTAGGGGTAGTTATAATCAGGGTCATAACTCCCGCAATCTGGGTTACAAATTCAGTGACCGTGCTTAAAGCCTACTTAGAACCCCATCTATAACTACCCATGAACCTCCAAGTAGGGTTTAGGATAGTGCTCCTCTCGGGCTCCGCAGGTTGAGTCGCAAAGTTCACGCACCTGATCTTTTAGACTCATTCTCTAGAACTGATATTGGTTCTCTAAACTAGGGCCCTTTGTCTAAGGGTGCCGTACTGTCCGCGGACAAAAGAGGGGCCGTAATTTAGCGAACTACCCATACACATGCCCGAGATTAGAGGGTCATGGGGCGTACCAATTGGGGCTATGATTACGTGAGGTAGTTGTACTTCGAGTTGTAATCCCAATTCAGGTACTGGTAACCTTACTTGCTATGTCCCATGACCCGTCAAGTTGCAATAGTGCTTCCCGAAGTGTCCACAGCTCTTAGCCTTGAAGGGCCCTAGACCTAAACCCTAACCCCAAATCCCAAGACGGAGCTCCCCATACTCAAGCTTCAAAACTTTGTTCTTTTCAAGTGTTGTATCCTGCAAATTCAGCTTCCCGGAAGGAAACTCCGACAAGCACACGAAACCGCCCAGGCTCTCAGCAGAACGCCCAAGCTGAAGGCAAGCGGCGAGAATGGCTGCAGAGCTTGGTGATCCCCATTCTCCGCAGCTGGGCCTTGAGGTTTTATAACAGAGTTTTAATTAAGCGGGGATATACAGGCATCTGTAATGTTTCAATTTGGTTCGTTAAGGGTCCTATAAGAACCCCCATTCACCGCAGCTGCACGACAATCAATCGAGCTTTCTGGGGTATCAGGAGGCGGTTTGAGACTTACGCGTTGTTAGTTTTATGCAAGTCGTCCGCAGCATCTATGGGTTTATCTCCTTTCAACCCTGATTAAGGCATTTGCATCCTGCTGTCAAGGCGGCTCCTAGACGCTGCTCGAAATTACTGCATGTCGCTGCCTCACCCCTCATTGGCATGCTGCAGACGGTAGGCCACGATTTTCCTGTATAGGCTCCCTGTACACCCCCTGCAACCCCGGGAAGCTTTGAAGCATTCTGCTTGGAGGGTCGGGTTAAAGGAACCCCTTATAGTTACTAAGTCCGCCGACCCTCCAAGTGGGAGTTGGCTGCAGCCACGGAGGCGCCGATGCCTTTCCCAGAGACTCCAAAACTGGGTTCTTGTTAAGGAACTTAATTTAAGTTACCATAATAAGGAAACCCTATTATTTACGATAGACCCCTATTATGGTAACTTAAATTAAGTTCCTTAACAAGAACCCAGAAAACCCCTTAATTAAGGAATACTCCTAGGGCTCCTTTAAGGAATCTATAAGGGATCTATGAGGTTTAGGGGAGTCGAATATCCCTTAATTAAGGAATATACCTTAAATTATAATAGGAGCCCTAATATGATTTAAGGTATATTGATTAATTAAGGGTTTTGGAGGCTCTGGGTTCGGAAGGCATCCGCTCAGGTTCGCATCGCCTGCACAGCACTTCGCACGTTTCAGGCATACGAGTGATGCATATGAATAATTGCGTGCCACCGTCCCTGCACAAGACTCGAATGCTTCTGGGACCTTCAACATGTACCAACACGGCAAAATCACGATGCACAGTATCTTCTTCCACCGGAGCCACCGAAATCATGCAAGGCTCAAAACCCCAACACCGTCAGCCCTCACCCTCAACGCACCCTAAACCCTAAACCAGCAAAGGTCAAATCAACCTTTTCTCTGGCTTCTCCATGAAGCTCATTTCGAAGACCCATGGCTGCATGAAGAATGGTTTTAGGATTCAGCGTTTCGGATTGAGGGTTTACAGAGCCTCCTTAGGCCTTGTCTTTCGTTTGCTTTTTTCGTACAAACCGAAAGATATTCCAAATACTGGTTTTCGTTTGGGTTGGGTCGAAGGGAGTCAAAGACAAAAACAATAGTAGCGCATGCAGCAACGTTGTAGCTGAGAACACCAGTTGCAGTCATACGAATGTCGCTGCGAGGACAAAATTCATGAGGATTTTTGTGATTACGACAGTACAAGCAACGGCGGCACAAATAAGCAGCCATAGCAGCACAAGAATTTCAGGAACGGTAGCATGCTCTCCCTGTTTAGCAGTATCAGTTCAAGCAACGCATGTGAGAAGTAGAACCTGATGCAGACACTAGACCAGAACTCAGGCCCAAATAACATCAGCAACAGTTTAACCCTAAACCCTAGACCGTGACCCTTGGGCTGTAACGATGCTAACGGCAGCAGCATGTCTTGACCTTGTTCGGGCCCGGAGCATCATCTCCAATACTATGTCCTTCTTCATCTCGTTCAATAATCGTAGTCGCAGCAGCAGCAGCAGTACTACTAGTAGTGGTAGTAGTAGGAGTAGTAGGAGTAGGAGGAGTAGGAGTAGGAGTAGGAGTAGGAGTAGGAGTAGGAGTAGGAGCAGCAGTAGCAGTAGCAGTAGCAGTAGCAGTAGCAGTAGCAGTAGCAGTAGCAGTAGCAGTAGCAGTAGCAGTAGCAGTAGCAGTAGCAGTAGCAGTAGCAGTAGCAGTAGCAGTAGCAGTAGCAGTAGCAGTATCAGTAGCAGTAGCAGTAGCAGTAGCAGTAGCAGTAGTAGTAGGAGTAGGAGTAGGAGTAGGAGTAGGAGTAGGAGTAGGAGTAGGAGTAGGAGTAGGAGTAGTAGTAGTAGTAGTAGTAGTAGTAGTAGTAGTAGTAGTAGTAGTAGTAGTAGTAGTGGGAGTAGTAGTAGTAGGAGTAGGAGTAGTACTAGTAGTTGTTGTTGTTGTAGTAGTAGGAGTAGCAGTAGGAGTAGTAGTAGTAGTAGTAGTAGTAGTAGTAGTAGTAGTAGTAGTAGTAGTAGCAGTAGCAGTAGTATTGGTAGCATGAGTCGCAGTAGCAGTGGCAGTGGCAGTGGCAGCAGCAGCGACAGCAGCAACGATATCCAGAGTAAGACTTATAAGAGCGGTGCATGCTTACATGCTAGGGTTTTCGGGGCCCGGCATTAAGATTAAGGGTCATGGTGAAGGTATGGGATGTGCAGCAGGAGTATAGGCCGCAAACCCTGGACCCTAAACCCCAGGATTGACGACGGCTGGTCGTTTCAGCTTGTAATGTCCATTCCGTCCAAGTGTGTAGATTTCTGATCCTTACAGTTTAGTATTGGGCTGCTTCGTGTCGCGGCTTGGAGGTGTGTTCGTTTTCCGGTGGGTGCCATGCTTCTGCAGTTGACTCTTCAGGGCGGGCGGGCTGGTAGATCCTGCATCATCCTTTCGGATATCACCTCCGAAACCTTACACCGCGAAGCCTAGGCCAAAAAACCCAAAGCCACGAAAAGCAAAGGATTGCAGAGCCGCTGCTCAAGTCGACGCAGCTACGTCTTAAGGAAGTAGGGCTTAAGGTTCACGGTTTACCGGTTTCGAGTGTACGGCTTACGGTGTTTCTGGTTTTTGTAGCCCATTATCGGGTTTAAGTTTAAGATTGTCCTTGCGCTTCTCAGCATGTGCTGGAGCTTGTTATGGGGCCAGGGGTTGGTGTTGTGCAGGAATTTGGGCTTTGGGCTGTTTTGGGTGTAAGGTTCTGGTTTAGGACTTTGGGTGCAGCACCTGTTGGGCTTATATACGGTTCAGGGTCCAGGCCGTTCGCTTCGGAGTTCAGAAACTAGGGCTCATGGTGTAGAAGTTGGGCTTGCTCACATATTCGGGAAGGCATCCAGGGTTGAGGGTTTAGAGTTTGGGTTTAACTTTCATTCCCAGCGCTAAGGTGCTAGTCTGCAAGGTTGTCCTGCTGTGTCCTTGGGTACTTGGAGGGTCGGGGAACTTAGTAAGTAGGTAGTAAGTAGACTTAAAAGTACCCTAAAAGGGACCCTAATTAGGGTTATGGTACTTATAAGTCCCTAAAATAACCACCAAGTAGGCTGTGGAGCTCTTTACTGGGTGTCTCGCGCGGAGCTGCCCATGCTCCCACTGCAATACTACACTAGGTATCGAGTTGGGATAGTTTCATAAAATAGGGGACCCTAATACAGTACCCCAAATAGTAGGATCCTTATTATAAGGACCCCCACTAAGGTGCCCCTAATTTTCGGAAACTCCCATTTGGGAGAGTTTTCAATTTCCCTTACTGTTGACTATAGAGCCCTAATTACAAAATAATGTTGGCGACTGTTGAAATCGACACCTAGTGCACTACATCCTGAAACCCCTAATTCTTTACCACTGGCCCACTGACCATTACGGAATACTTGGAGGTTCATGGGTAGTTATGAGTGGGGTTCTATGTCCCTAATATGGGTCATAAGTATTAGTTAGCCTACTCATAACCCCACTTATAAAACTACCCCTGAACCTCCAAGTAGGCCCTAAATCCTATACCCTACAGATCCCTTTGAAGGAACCCTTATAACTACTTGGAGGGTCGGGGGACTTAGTAACTGGTAATTTTAGAGACTTCTAAGTACCATAACCCCAATTAGGGTCCCTTTTCGGGTACTTAGAAGTCTACTTACTAATTAGCTACTTACTAAGTCCCCCGACCTCCAAGTATTGGTAGAGGCTTAAGTGCCCTAATACGAATACGAGTGATACGTATGATTACCCTACAGATAAACCCTACAGATCCCTTTCAATTCACCATAGAAGGAACCCTTATAACTACCCATGCCTTTGCAGGAACCCATAGAATCCCCTTTACAGGAGCCCCTACTTACTAAGTACCCATGCACCTCCAAGCACAGTTTGCAAAGCCAGGATAAGGATGGTCCATGGACACTCTAAATTGGAGCATAGTCCGGTTGACGACAAAACGGAATGAAGCATAAGGAATACATACCATAATAAGGAATATGCCATAATTCTCATAGTTTAGGGTCCTGAAGGTAATGCAGGATGTATCAGCAGGTCGCTCTAGCTACGTCTGAACACGCTTCTCGTAGCCCAAGAAAGGCCGCGACTGCGACTGCCACGCCTGAGAAGAATAAGTTAGGGCTTCCTTTAAGGGCCCCTCTAAAGGGATCTATAAGGATCCTATAAGGGAATAGGGTTTAGAGTGTAGGGCCTACTTGGAGCTTCCTGCCTTGTTAAAAGTGGGTATAAGTAGGATAGCTACAGTTATAGCCCATATTAGGGGACTCATAACCCCACTTACAACTAACCATGAACCTCCAAGTAGGCTCTAGACCAAGTAGGCTCTAGAGTTTAGGGTTAGAGGAAGGCTTAAACGGCCCCGAGCAGCCCTCAGCCCCGAAAGTTGTCTGCTTGCGTTTGTGACTCCGCAACTATGCTGCGATCAGTCTTGGTTCGAGCTCTCGTACCAAAATCTCATCCACTTCTATTCTGAGGAGGCAATTCTGACTGAGGGGGGGTGGTTCCGATGAGTTTGTTCGGCAGGTGGAAGGAGTTGGAGACGGGCAACATCTACATCGTCACAACTCCGGAAGACCCCGTGCTGCATTTTTTGACTGTGGTGAACAATCCTATGAAGGATGATCGGCGTGAGTTTGAGATCCAGCGAGGCCCTGAGGGAAGGATCCAACTTCTCCCTCTCTACCTCAAAGACATTACTACAGAGCCAGATACTCTTTCTGATCTCTTTCTGGACCCCACAGTGCCAGGTCGCATCGTTTGGTACAGCTACACCACCGGAAAACGCAAGACCTGGCAGTATATGCTGCAGGTGTGGAACACCACACTTGTGCAGCTCATGTACGAAGAAGAAGAAGACACTGTCCTTCGGCTGGTTCTGCGGAAGCTCACAGGGGAGACAATTTCAAAGGTTGCTGTGCAACCCGGCACAAGCTGGAGGGATGCAAGGAAGTTGATGGTGCCGGGCCTGCGACCACTCCTCTCGAAAAGGCTGGCTTTCGTGTCACCCCTTGGGGAAGTGTTGACGACAGCACATGATGAGAAGCGCCTTTCTGAGATTCTCGGATTAGAAGGTGGCAAGCCGGAGGTAGATGAGGACGCATGGCGACGCTTTCAGTAGTTGCAGCTGCGGCTTCTTCGGTTCAAGTGTTGAAGAGAATTCCCTACATCCCTGAACCCTCAATACGGAGTGCTTTTCTTCAGCGGGGCTTTGGGAGAAACAGAAGCCCCACAAACATGCGAAACCGTAAGCCCAAGACCCTTAGTGCGGCAGAACAGAAGAGCACACGCCAGCCTTACAAGATAATCTTAAATCCAGAGCCGTAAGCCGCAAAAACCGCAGTCGTCATGTTTGAAAGACCATGGTGCAGGCCTCCGTAGGCCAAGTGACAGTGATGGCCCTTCGGAGTGAAAGCTTAGTGCACTTAACCTTAGTAGCTAAAACACTTTAGACTTGCTTAGGGTTTCAGGTTTGGGTTTAAGGTTTATAGGGCTTCGGGTTTTAGAACCTGTTAAATCTTCACCAAAGGCATAAAGCCCTCAGAGCTTCACGCCTTAAAGCAGAAGCTCCCCTACACTAAACCTAGGATGCCCACTAGTCCCCTTATTCCCTTTTTGTAGTCCTGGGTTCCTTATGAAGTTATCCAATACCAAAAAGGGAGCCCTTTTTATTCCTAGGTTACTGGGCATCCTAGAAACCCCTTAAGTTCGTAAGGGCCAGGACCCCCGAAAGGCCCGTTTATAGAGCCTTGATGGCCCTTAATAGTGGTTATTTGGGGTATGTTAGAGGGCAGTTGGGGGGTCTAGGGAATCACTTACCCTAAACCTAATCCATAAAGGGAAAGCTGGGGAAGCCGAAAAGAGACTTGCTTTGATTGCTGCTTGCCATTTTCCTGAGATTGCAGACACGGTAGCCAGTGCCAAGACTTGTGGTTTCCGGGTTCTTTGGTGTTGTAAGGATTTAGGGTTTCCTGTGGATTTCCGTATAGGTAATTTAGCATATAGGCTTTGGGTTTGGGGTCTAGGGTTACGGACGGTTTGAGGTTTAGTGTAGATTTTTACCGTCCCGGTTCTGCCATAAGTTTTCAAAGGGTTTATGCTTCAGGGTGTTGGGGTTGTCGGACCTGCTGCTGGAGGGCTTCGTGCCTGCTAACTCCAACAGCAAAGCCTGCTTGGAGGGTCGGGGGACTTAGTAAGTAGGTAGTAGGTAGACTTATAAGTACCCTAAAAGGGACCTTAATTGGGGATATGGTACTTATAATTACTTGAAATAATAATAACCAGTTACTAAGTCCCCCGACCCTCCAAGCGAGGGCATAAGCCTTCAACACACACTCCACAACCGCACTCCAGATCCGAATTCCCGCTTAAGCAGCGACGTGATTTGTCCTCGCTCTATCGCAGTCTAGCCAGATTTTCATGGGTATTTATAAGTGGGGTTATAAGTTCCCTAATATGGGTTATAACTATAGTTACCCTACTTATAGCCTCACTTCTAAGTAGCCGTGAACCTCCAAGTACAGACTCACTCCCTGCCTGTAAGTGGTAGTATAGAGGCCCCTAAACCCTAAATCCTAGCATTCGAACAAGAAACAAGCGGGTAATATCCTTAAGTATACAGTCTCCTGTTAAGTTTCAGGAATCTAGGGCAGCTCTATATAGGATACATATATGCATATATATATATATATATATGCATATAACAACATATATATATATATATAGGAGCACTTCAAAATGCCAGGTTTTGGAGTGCTTCAAAGTCTCCTGCGTAGGGCTGTCTATGAACATGACTGCAAGTTCCTTGGGATACAAGTACTTACACAAGCATACCCTAAATCCCAAACTCTAAAAACCTTACGCATACTGGTTTCCTGGAATCCCCTGAGAGGGGGTGCTCTTCCTGCCGAGGTTTAAAAATGTAGATATAAGCCAGAAAGGTTAGCCAATAAAGTGAAAGTGAGTAGTAGTATACTATAACCCTAAACGCTAAACCCTAAACCCAAAACCTTATCTAATCATGAAGGCCTTTCAACACACGACGCATATTGGCGGCCCTTTTGGGTCCTTACTGCATAGAGGTTCGTGGGTAGTTATAAGTGGGGTTATAAGTAGGATAAATGTAATTATGACCCATCTTAGGGGACTTATAACTCCACTTATAACTACCCATGGACCTCCAAGTATACCCTAAACCCTATACCCTTATAGACTCCCTAGAGATCCCTTTAAAGGGACCCTTAAAGGAACTCCAAGTACTGCATAGAGGTTTAGGGATCTTCAAGGCCACAGCCTGCAAGATCAGGGCCACCCGGGGTGGAAGGTACAGGTCCTTTGTGACTGTCTCACCCGAAGCTCAAATTAGGTTTACGGTAGTACGGTTTAGGGTTTAGGGTTTAGGGTTTTTGGTTGTGGTTAGAGCCTAGAGCTCTGGGTGTTTGGGTTTCTGGTTCGGCTTTCGATGTTAAGTGGTCGTGGTGATACTGGGAATGAGCTTCGGACAGCTGGTGTCTCTGGCACGAGCACCCAGCTACTATAAGCTGATTGGCAAACTGCGTTTTTTCTTTTCGAGCCCGGTGTCTTTAAGCGACAGGGACAGCAGGTCGATGTTGACCGCTCCCTGTTGTGCTAAGATGCAGGGCCTGATTGGCACACTTGTGGGCGCCGAGCTCGTGACCAATGTGTTAGGGCTTAAGGGAAGGAGCTAGTCTCTAACTATGATAGCAGGATTTAGGGTTTTCGGGTTTAGGGTTAGGCTATGATAGCAAATTTGAGCTGATGTTAAGAACTGTGGAGGGCTGGAGGCGCCCAAGATTTCCAGCGAGGGAGTTTTCAGTTGGTTCCACAGGAGTTGTAAGCGGAAACGAACTTATGTGCTTTTGGCATTAGATGGTGGTTGCAGTACGAGATGTCCTGGTCCAGCTGCGACACCGGCGGATGGCCAAGGAATTCTTTCGTCGAGAAGTCCCGGCGGCTCAATAGTATGAGAGCTGCAGGGGTGGAACCAACTCTCCCACAACCACCTATGAGAAGCAGCAAGCAGCAGTCAGGTCCAACTTTCGTTCGGCAGTGTGCAGACACCCCTCAAGCGTCAACAATCGTCACTTCCCAAAGCCTTCAGAGACCCGAAAAGCTCCACTGCAAAGCCTTAGCCCTCAAACCTTTCATCCTTAGGCCCTACACCATTGAAGTCTAAGCCTACAATATGGGAGTTTCCGAAAATTAGGGGTACCTTGTTTGGGGGTCCTTATAAGAAGCATCCTACTATTTAGGGTACCATATTAGGTTCCCCTATTTTCGGAAACTCCCATATCCTGCCCCTTAAAAGACCCCGAGCACCGAGTTGCTGGGCCATGACGCCCGACATTGGTGCTCGGTACAGGTGTCTGCGGGCTGCGAGTACTCAACTGTTAGTGGGCTGTTCTGGGCAGGTAAACGGTTTGGGTTTAGGGTTTAGTTTCGGGTTTGTGGTAATTGGGACATTTTAGACACCTTCATCGGGTTTAGTGTCTATGGCCCCGTTTAGAACAGCTCCCTTGTCGTTCCCTTGCTTTTGAATTTAACATGCTGATGTGACAGATGAGACCGAGAAGAGGAAGAAGAAAACATCTGGATTCTGATTCTGGGAGGGTTGTATGCCGGGCTTCTACCCTAAACCCTTACACCCCAAACCCCTAAACCCTAAATCCCTAAACCCCTACACCCCTAAACCCCTACACCCCTAAACCCTGCATCGGGCGAAAGAGCTTCGTCTGGTTTCGGAGTTAGGTTGTTGGGCTCAGAGTTTATTTAGGCTTTTGGGAGCTACCACATGGTTAGTTAAAAGTTATATAGGTTCCTTTAAGGGACCCTTTAAAGGGATCTCTAGGGAGTCTATAAAAATACAGGTGCAGGGCTTAGGGCCTACTTGGAGGTTCATGGGTACTTATAAGTGTGGTCATGAGTAGGGCAACTATATCATAGCCTACTTTCGGGGACTTCTAACTCTGCCTATAGCTGCCCATGCACCTCCAAGTATACTAGCCCCTAAACCCGAAGCCCCAGTTCCAACTTCCATGAACCTCGAAGTAGGAACCCAGACTGAGCCTTACTAAACCCTAAACCCTTAAACCCCTAAACCCTAAGCCCTAACCCGTAAACCCTCAACCCGTGAACTCTAAACCCTAAACCCTTACACCGGGAGGCTTACCATGCCTTCGATTTTGGTCGAAGGTTTTTGGCTTGGGCTTGGGGGGGGGGGGGGGGGGGGGGGGGGGGGGGGGGGGGGGCTATACCTATAGCCGCAAAAACACTGCCTGTTTAGGGTTCCTTATGACGGTGTTTACAAATACTTCCTCAAAAAGGTAGGTTTTTGGGCAACAGGTATGCGTAGTTATCTACATTAGGGTCACTTTTCAGGTCCCCCCAAAATAGTACGGCACCCTCACAACAAGGACCCCCAATAGGGGCCCTAATTTTGAGAACTTCCCGTAAAGGATCCCTAAAAAGGCTCAGTCTTTAGGCTAGCGGCTAGCAAGAACAGCAGCAAGAACGACAAGACTATGTGGAGGTTCATGGGTAGTTACAGGTGGGGTCATGAGTCCCTAGGTGGGATATAAGATGTCATGAGTATATTTTCCCTACTTGTAACTTCACTTATAACTACCGATGAACCTCCAAGTAGAAATAGTTTTCACCTGCAGAGACCGTACTAGAATGCCCAGGTTCCCAGAGGGCCAAAACCTGTGCACCGTGGGGGAAAGCGCGGATTCCATGATTCTCTGCATACAAGCTTGGAGATTGGGGATCAGTGGGCGGTACCCCTAAACCCTAAATCCTAAACCGGATTTACGGCCAAGGAAACCGGTCCAGGTGTGTTTTTTTGGCTTTCGGGCTCAGGATTCGGGGTTCGTGGTTTTTGGGTTACTGTCCTCCGGATCAGGCTTGCGAGTTTAGGGGTCGAGGTTCGGGCCCTGCTTGGAAGTGAACGGGTTCAGTTAGGGTTTAGGGTTTAGTGGTTCGGGGTTTATAGGGTTTATAAGGTTTAGGGCTTAGGGTTTAGGGTAAGGTCATAAGTATCTTAATTGGTGTTATAAGTTTTACAACTATAGTTACCTTATTTCTAGCCCTCGCTACTAAGTGCCACGATCCTTCAACTAAGCCCCAAGGGCGTAGGCTAGCGCCCGCATTTCTCACGATGGCAATCAGTAGCATCCTTAGCCGCCATTGCATCATGTCCCCCAGAAATCCAGGTTCTTCAGTGGTATGCGTGTTTACAGTTTTTGTTTCTGTGGCGTCTGTGCCTCAGGTTGAAGCCTAAAACCCGAAACCTTCAACCGCCTTATTCCTGAGCCTAAAGGGGTTTCCGGTTTACTGTCTAAACATTGCAAACACCAAGACCAACAAATCCTAAACGCCCTAAGCCCTAGGCCTTACCAGCTCAGAATCTGAAGTCTTTTGGAGCCCTGCGTAGCCAAGCTTGGGCTTCGGCAGGTTCCTTACTAGAGCCTTACCAGAGCCTGGGAGTGTGCGAGTTGCGCTCTGTTCGCTTGTAACATACCACATCCTGCGATATTTTTCAATATAGTGTACTAGATTTGAGTCTGGTGTTGGTGTTCTTTCCTTGCCGGGGACCTTGACCACGGCGAGGACAAGAGTAACAGTAGCGGGCCAATGCTTGCAAACGTGGTCAGAATGACTCCGAAAGCCAGTCTAAACCCTCAACCCTAAACACTGACACCCTAAAAGCTAAACCCCGACAATCTCGCTTGAGGATTATGGTGGTGGAGGGAGAGGTGGAGATCAAATCCAAGGATGGCACGGTCGCTCCTCGTCGGTGAGGGTCCGGGGACACGAGATTAGGGTTTAGAGTTGAGGAACCCTAAAGCCTAACAACTAGTTTCCTGAGTAGTACCCTTTTGCCTTTTAATTTGAGGTCTCCTTGTTAAAATACAGAACTTAGGAACAAGTGTACTCTTATTATTAAGGATTTCTGGAAAGCCAGCAACCCTAAAGCCTATTCCTGCATACCTCGTAGAAAACCCTGCAGTACCCTGTACACCCTCCACCCAAACGCCTGGAAGCCAATACCTGCATAGAAACCGATATGGTGATACCCTGAACCCTTAACCCGTACCTGCATAGAAACCTTTTCATACCTTTTACAGGAACTTTAAAGGAACCTTGAACGGAACCTTTAAAAGGAACCCTTAAGAGAACCCTTTGGATGTAGAACTTCGGAAGGATTCGCTTCGGATCTGTCAGGTGTAAACACATCCAGGGGTGTGGAGTTTCTCCGAGAATTTCTGTGAGGGTTTCTGAACGGGTTCTACAAAGGCTTCTGCAAGCGGTTTATTCAGGCGTCGACCACGTAGAAGCAACTGTCGAAGCAGCTTAACCGCCAGAAACCATGAGGAACCCTTACAGCACCCTTTCGGAACCGTTTGGAGATTTTACGAATCGCTAAGAAGCCGAAGAGAAGCTGCTACAAAAAAACTTTTAACTTTACAGAAACCCTATATAGAACCCCAGTGGAAGACTTCAGCCCTAAACTCTAAACCCCAAACACTAAACCTTAAACCCTAAACCTTAAACCCTAAACACCCCAAACCCCAAATAGAAAGCCTGAGCCGTGAAGCCCATGATGGGCCTCACGAGGTTGGCATCGGCGGGAGAGGATTTGCTCGGTCCTGAGCTGTCTGCAGGGTTGTCTTTGGGGTTTAGGGTTTAGGGTGTCTGCAGGGTCGTGTAGGTTTAGGGACGATGGAATGGGTGCTTCGAAGATTTTATGAGGGCTTTTGTGGGTGGGGGGGCTTAGGGGCTTGGGATGCATCATTTAGGGCGTGGGATTGGCGGTTGGATGGAGTGGCTAAGGGTTTCGGGTTAGGGCTTTGCTTCACCCCTGAGGTTCCAAGTGTACAAATACTGCGGATGATATAAGTCCTGCATCACCTTAAGGACCACAAGGAAATTTTGGCACATTCCTCATATTATTCGGGTCCCCTATTTTCGGAAACTCCCAATTATTTTGGGGGGTCCTTATAATAAGGATCCTACTAATTCATTATGGGTAATGCAGGGTTTATGTCATCAACCCCAGAGCCTGCTCTTGGCTCTGTGGAGAGTCGAGCTCAAATCCTGCATTTCCCATAATGAAAATGTACCCCGATTTGTCGAAAACTCCTCGTTTGTGTTCTCGTTTGGTTTCTCAGGTATTGTGGAGTAAGGGAAGGGTCGATCTGGTTTTGGGCGGTTTGGTGCGGGGCTCATTGAGCTCGATTAGGTTGGGACTAAAGAATGAAGTTCAGAAAGGGATTAGGCTTTAGCGTGTAGAGGTTAGGGTTCAGGACTTTGCATGGTTTTCTACGACTTGGTCATGTTCCTAAACGGTCCTGAAAGGGTTCTGTCGGATTCGGGAGAACTCTGTCGTGCCACCATAGCAACGAAGCCATGCTGCTTGCTGAAAACAATTGAACCCAGAAACTCTAAACCCTAAACCCTTAACCCCAAGCCCCTAAACCCTGTAGCCTGAAACGCGCTAAACCCTCCCGGATCTGGAGGTTCATGGCTACTTATAAGTGGGGTCATAAGTAGGGCAACAAAAATCAAAGCCCACATGAGGGGACTAATAACCCCAGTTGGGAAAGTGCGAATCTCAACATGAAGCCCCGGCACCGCACAGCTCCAAGTGCCACGTACCCCAAACCCAAAGCCACTGAAAGCCCTAACCCTGAGGGTCCATGTTCTCCTACAGTATATACATAGGCCCCAATGTAGTCCCTATATACGTACTTGGGGATCAAAGCATACTCATATGGATACATGGACCCTTAGGGTAAACTCCTAAACCCTATAAAACATAAACCCAAAGGCCTGAGTCCCTCCCTATTACATTGTCCCTACACTCCCATACCCCAAACCACTCAGCATTCAACACCCTTGGAGAAGAAGGGAGCAAAACCTGGAATCTTGAATCCTAAAGCCATAGCCTATACATGCCTATACCGGACAGACTTCTCAGGCTATTGGTGAGCTGGCCTTGATGGGCCTCTTTCCTTTCAGGACTGGTCAAGGTCTTGGGATTGGATGTCCTGTGTTCAAGGGTTCAGAGCTTGCGATTGCGCATGTAGGGATCAGGGGATCAGATTAGATTTTGGATTTCGCAGCGATGTACGATTGACAGAGGTATCAGTCTGTTGTATACGTGTAGCGTCTAGGGTTTGATTTTGGGGCTCAGTGCTGTGGCTCTCAGATTCAGTGAGTAAGGAAGGGATGCATACTATCTCGTTGCAAGAGACCCTGTCTATAATTCGCCAAAACCTTATATAATACCCTGTGCCTCGGAAAGATGCACTGACTCATGTTCTGGTTCCTTGTTTCGTGGGAAAGAATTCTCGAAATTCCTTAATTAACCAGGAAGTATGTGGGCTAAATCATGTCCCCGGATACTTGTTTGCATTGGCTGAATATGCGTGCGTACTGACCAAGCCCTAAAACCCGAGGGCTCTAAGGACTCATACATTAAGGCTTTTTGGGTCGAAAGACCAGAACATACAAGGCTTTTGGGCATTTTGAGCCTCAGGGAAGCCTAAACCCGGAGGGGTTTGTTGGAGTCGTGGTCAGGACTGCTACGGTGACGGCGCTCAAGGCCACAGACACGGCCACTGGGACCCACTCAATCCATCGAGAGGTGAGGGCTCGCCTCCACCCTGATAACCGTAACATTCAGTTTGGGGCTTGGGCCGAGTTTTGGCAAAACTCTAAACTCTAAATGCCAATAATAAAACAAACGGGGTTCAAGCAAATATATATCCAAGACCCGTAAAGCTGTCAGCCCTGAAAACCTGGAGTGCAAAGGCCATGACCAAAGCCACTACAAACCTTACAAACCTACGCTTTACGACACATCCAAGAAATCAACAGCTTTGGGCATGTCCCCCTTCTATGGGCCGAAACGGGGTGTGGATCGCTGACACAGCGGAACCCTTTGAAGGAACCCGGGGCCTTCTATTAACATGGGGGCCAGTAGTTATAGTATAATGGGCCCCAAAACCCTATTCTAAGCGTTAAGGCCCCTTCCCCAAGCCCTTATAGTAGCCCTTATAGACCCCTTTAAAAGGAGCCCTATTCTAATTGCCCAGGGCCTTCTGTTTACAAGATTCGGGTCGGCCCCGAGGTCTTCGTCAAGTCTTGGAACTTTCAGAAGATGCTCGGAGAGTCGGGGCCTGCGCAAGACTACATCGAGAAGCTGGACCAGGTCCCAGGGTTTAGGGGTTTAGGGGTTCAGGGGTTTAGGGGTTTAGGGTTTAAGGGTTTAGGGGTTTTCGGTTTAGGGGTTTAGGGGTTTAGGGTTTAGGGTGCCCTTTGCGGGATCATAGCTCCGACTCTACAGCATCTTCGGTTGAGTTCTTTGTGATGCAGCGTTTAGGAATTGGAATGGAAGCCTTTTTTGTTTCGATGTTGGATGGCTGTGGCTCTGCTGCCTCATATCGCGTGGAAGCCCCGAGGAGAGACAGTTTCCGCAACCAGAACTACACCTACAGAGGGTTGTGTGATCGGTATGAGTCCATGTAAATAAAATGCCTCCCTTAAACCCACTATTACTATGATGATTAGGTAAGTATTAAGAGTAAAACATGACATTGATAATATTATGGTATACGTGAAGTTCCCAGAAACATACCGACTCGCACTTTGGCTTCAGCATGCACAAGGCCCGAACATGCCCAAAACACGATTCCGGGCAGTTCTTCGAGCTGGGGGTCAGTATTTAGAGGTACGGCTCAAGGTGTACAGTAACCGCTGTGTCCAGTTCAGGGTGAACAGAACACCGATGCAGTGTGCCGCACAGTGACCTCATATGATGGATGTCTTTACGCCCTAAAAGCCTTACTTCCCAAACCAAAGCCTTACACTGACATGAGACAGGAAAGATGAACCCGGCCTTAAGTGCTTAGCATAGAAGCCTTCTTCCCTAACGAGTTCTTAAAGGGTTCTATACTGTAAGGATTCCTATACTGAGTTCCTTACAAGGGTCATTACAGGCGGTGTATCTTGCGGTTTAAATTTAGGGCTTACTATAGGATCCCGAAGATGTAGTAATACTTATTCTTTAGGGCTTCATACATAATATCAAAGGCTGCACCTGCAGAGAGCATTAGTCTAAGCATCGGGTCGCAGTGCCGTGGCATGGCAGACACGTGTAGGCCAGACAGTGTCCGCCATGTCCCATGTCTCTACATCCGCACCGACCTCGTCAAGTGATGAGTATAAATGCTTCTTGTGCGACCAATGGCCTGCAAGAGAGTATTTCTTTTGCACTACCTGCTACGGCGACGGCAGGATTTTCGTTTGCCTGGGATGCCGGCAACAAGCAACATGCCAAAGGTGTAGACGCCATGTGAGGGTGGAAGAGCTCCATAGTGCAAACACGGTCGGAACTGTAGCCGAAGTGGAAGAAGACCCAACTACCATCGCGGAACGAGTGGCCAACGTCGAGCTGGAGCTGTCCCGTCTCCGACTGGCACTACGAGATGAACCGACGCCAGCACCGGCCATCGTCCAGCCAAGGCAGACCCAGATGCCTTCTGCACATTCACGGCCACCGGCAACGAGACGGATGCAGCACCCAATTCGGCGAAGACAGCTGGACAACGGGTGGCTCCGGTTTGACTTCCACAAAGAGGACGAGCCGCTCTTCAGGAGCAAGAACAACAACGGACGCATACCTCCGCCAGGATGCCGTGATCTTCACCAGAATGGACGCGTATGCTGGGGAGGCCTGCTGCCATGCGAGGCCGTCCAGGAGCAAGACGCGTGCTTTTTCCTCGTGCATGAGGAGAAGCGGCTTTTGTTTCACGGACCGTGCAAGCCAATTAGAATCCGGTTGGCCAAGATCGTCTTGAACGAATGGCGTGATGTTCCATGGAGTTGCGTTTATTCCGATCTGGCATTGGGAGAACCAACATCATGGTCATCGACCAGAATCAGCCTCTGAGATAAGCGCCTAGAAGATGCAGTATGACCGGCATGCGCGCCCAACATGGTGGTGGGAATAATTTGTAGCAATTGTCCCTTGATCGTCCCTTTACTGAATATGACCATGATACAGAACACTTTTCTAGTGCAACAGGCCTGTTATTATAATTGAGCTTGCCATTGTATGTTTGTCACCACTTGCTTGCGGATTAGGTGCGTAGGTTTCAGGGTCCAGGGGCTTAGGGCTAATGGTTGAAGATGTAGGCTACACGCTGTTCTGAAAATGCTACCCACGCAGCAATCTGGAGCTTGCAGCTTACAGGCAAATTGCCTGCATAGCAGACACATGTCTTCACATCGATGGCATTTTACATTCATCTCATGAATCCTGAAACTGCAAGGCTCCATATATAAGCTGACACCACCGGATGTCGGAGAGTTCTGCGCAGCAGTCCAAAAAAGCCGCTTTGAAGGGGCGAGGGTTTACGGGAGTTTGAGGTTCGGGGTTCAGGATGATTTTGTTTGCCCCACCGAGCAGTTTTCGAGAGCCCAAAGGCTTCAACACCACATGAAAATCCTATTCCATCTGGAACCATAAGGGTGGTTGTCAAAATGAGGGTCCCTTTTTGGGTCCTTAATATAATACGGCACCTAATACTTAGGATACCCAAAAAGGGACCCTAATTTTGACAACCACCCATAAGCGTTTGAGCCGTTGGGGTTGGCTCACGGTATATACGCTCCTTAGCAAGCCCGGCTGTTGCACACTGCTTGATCGGTTTGGGGCTTGGGGTCGAGTCTTTGAGGTCATCGAAAAAGAGGCCCGTTTCAGACCAGTCCCCATAGGTCTCCCAACCCAAAAGTTGTTAAAGAATGAAAGTCTGCCGGCAAGCCCCTACACTGAGGATGTAGATGTCCCCAATCCTAAACACTACGCTGCGCCCTTCTGTTTGAGACGTTTCTCTTCAGGAGAAGCGGGCGCAAGTGATTCGAGGCCTTTCTTCTTTGCCCGGACTTGTTAAAGAGGTCTGAATCAACAATTAACTTGAGGGTCTCATGTTTGGGGCTTAGGGATGGATTGTGGGTGTGGCATGCTGTGATTTGCGGTTATCATACTTTTAAACCCTAAAGCCTATAATCCTTAGTATAAGAAAGGCTTATAACTTAGAAGCTGCCCCCACCCTGTAATAGTGACTATAAGGATTATATTAGGGCCCTGTTATATTCCTATTATACCACTATTACAGGGTGGGGGCAGCTTCTAACTCATGACGGTTCAGAGAGTTCGGATTTATGGTTGAGCGTTTCGGGTCTTCGGACTTTCGCAAGCTTTGGGCTCCTCTACAAGCTCGGGGACCCTGCGAAAAGGCCTGATGCCCGGGCTCGCAAAAGCCGTCCCCAAACCCAACCACTATGTCTTAAAACTCTACTCTAAGCATCTCTAACCCATATGTGGTAGTGGTCTCACCGCATGCCTCAGCGCGAGGGGACTCAGTGGGGGGTTGGGTCTAACATGTGTAAAACAAAACTCTACTCTAAACTCTCTAAACCCTAATCTCTATCCTCAAGCTAAACCCCGAACCTTGAATATGCATCTACTCTCCGAGATTTGGCTGAAAGACATGGAGCACAGAGGTAATGGCTTTGAGTCGGCTCAGGAAGACCAAAAGGCTCTTGGTTGCTCTTGCCGTTAACTCGAAAAGTATTTTTTGTTAGCAAGGGCGGCTTTTATCTCCGCTGTTACTCCCTGGGTGATCTTGATCTTGCTCTTGCTGATGCTCTTGCTCCTGCTCTGGCTTTTGCTCGGCTCGCGCTACGTGTCTTGCTCTCGCTTCTGTGTTTTTTCATGTTCTTGTTGCTGCTCTTGCTCTTTCTCGTGCTGATGAGTTAACGGGTTTAACACCCAAAACCCGTAGCCCTAAACTCAACCACCGTTGCAGAGCCCCTTTAGGTCCCGGCGATCCCGCTTCTTGAACACCCTTTTGTTGAAACAGGTGTGCCGATGGCGGCATTACCGGTGACGGCCGCTTCGATGTCATAGAGGGGGCAAGAGGTGAAGTGACCGTGGTCCTACTGAGGGTTTAGGGTTCTAAGATTCAGGATTTAGGGCTGAAGGGCATTGGGTTTTAGGGTTTTGGGGTTGGTTTACAAGGGTTTAGAGTTTTCCTCAACCTTGAAATTTTTCAACCCAATCATACACCCAACACCCTAAGCCGTAATCCCTAAATCCTAAGCCGAGGCCTCACCGGAGGACGTTTGTGCTCGGGCGATCGCGCTGCATTCTGCGCCTTGGATCAGATGAACCTGCACAGTAGCAAGACGGAGAGGGGTGGTATTCTGGGCTTTAGATCTTGGGTGTATTGTTTAGCTTGGAGGTTCATGGATAGTTACAAGTGGGGTTTTAAGTCCCGTTACATGGGTCGTAAATTATAGTTACCTTACTTTTGGTCCTGCTTATAACTACCCATGGACCTCCAAGAGGGCTTAGTGAGTGTTTTTTGGGAGTCTTAGGGTTTCACGGTTTTGGGGCTTCAGGGGTGGAAGCTGCACATTGCAACAGCTTCTCATAGACCCCGAAGAGTGGCGGTGTCTTGACGACTTTGAAACTCCCGGATAACGACATGTTTCAAGGGGTCTGAAAATGGTATCTAATAGTATTCCATCGTAGCCCCAATGTTGGAGACATTGTCACCCTTCTAGGGTTCAAGGTTCAGGGTTCAGGGTTTGCGCAAATATCTTGCCAAAGCCGTCAGGCTGTGTACTGCCGGAACGCGAAGGAACAAAAGTCTCTACAGCTTTATGAACCTGAACACCTGGAACTCTCTGACAACAGCCACGACGACCGCAGCCGAAAACCGTACATGCAGCAGCAGAAACGGAACAACATCGACGACTAAAGCAATCGCAAGACATGTCATGTTGATGCCAACGATGTTCATCATGAAACCGACGATAGGGTGCAGTGTGTGTGTGTGTGTGTTGATGCTCAGGACAGTAAGATTCCGCATCATGTGCAAAACTGGACTTCTGAGTTTAGGAGCTTTCAGTAGCGTTTATGGGTTTCGGCAAAGGGAGGGCTGAGGCATGACATCTGAACCTCCTGCAGGCCCAAAATGTAACTGTAGGGCTTAGGGTTTAGAGTTTGGGGTTGAGGGTTTAGGGCCCACCTGATAGTTAGGATTTAAAGTCTGTTGTGCGGGCTGTTGGGGGTTTAGGGATTTTGCTCCGTTGGTGTACAGGGTTTCGCAGCTCTTACACCCAGAGCCCTGAACGGTTTAGCTCCCCTTCGTCTGCAATATTAGGATAACGGCTCTGATCTCGGCCTTCTGCTTGACACTGGTCCCCAGAGCCTCCAAAACCCCTTAATTGAGGAATATACCCTAAATTATAATAGGAGCCCTAGTATGATTTAAGGTATATTCCTTAATTAAGGGGTTTGGGAGTCTCTGGGTCCTTCGTTTCCACGCGAAGCCCGTCTAAGTCTAAGCATCGGAGCCTCCAGGCCGAAGCAAAAAACTCTGAGCCCGAAACCCTTTACACCTCAAGCCCCAACCCCAGTGCCCGAAAATAGCCCTACACCCAACAATCCTAAACCCTGAAGCATCAGAAAACCCGAACCCTAAACCTTGAAGCCTGCACCTTAAACCCTAAACCCTATGAAAAGCAAACCAGCCTTTCGTCTCCAAGACGCGCTACATCCTCGCGCCGGGCGAGGAGTGGAAGGTGGCCCCTGACCCGCCGGCAGGTGCCCACAACTGGGCCCCTGGGTCACGGTTTAGGCTTTGGGGTTTAAGGGTTTTGGTGTTTGAGGGTTTGTCTGAAAGGCGTTCAGGTTGCTTTTGCGGGGTTCGAGTTTGGATTCTTCCGGGGGTTTTGTGAGAGTTTTTGGCGGCAGGATACAATTTCTCTATTGGTTTGTACAGTCTTTCAGTGTTGAATATAAGGCTCACAGTATCAGACCGCTTAAACCCTGAACCCTAAACCGTAGACCTCAAGCAAGTGAGGTCTTTGCTCGCGGACGTGCCGTCCTTCTGCTTGGCCCAGCCGATCACCCGGTGAACCCGTCGCCTGGCCTTGCTGGGAGGTTCATGGGTAGTTACAAGTGGGGTTACAAGTCCCCTGATATGAGTTTTCAAATCATGGCAATCCTTCTTATGTCCCACTTATACCTCCAAGTAAGATAGGGCGGCCCGGACTACTTCGGGGACCAGGTTTTAAATCAGGAGCGATTTGAGGGTTCGATATTTGCCGAGGCCGTCACTACTTCGAGGACTGGATTGAACCCTAAACCCGAAACTCCAACCCTCTCTGGTTTCAGGGCTTCCTTACAAAGCGAAGAAGCCTCAGTTTTTAAAAACCCCTAAAGGACCAAAAAACCCTCAGCAAACCTGCGTTACTGCCAAGCCACAAGCTAAATCGAGAATCTCAGCACAGTCAATCCGCTGAAGTTACCAGCATGAAACACTACAAAACCCTCGTTTACACGCCCTTCAGCTATTAAGCCGTAAACCATAAATGCAGACCAATACGAGACACAGAACCCTCAAGAAATCCAACACAACCCCAAAACAGACCTCTATATTGTGGAACCCTTAAAAACTCAGCCTCATTGGTTTACCCCAAACCCCAGAACCTTATACAGACCTCTATATTATGGAACCCTTCTACTTGGTTTATCTCAAACCCTAACCTTACTAAACCCTAAACCCAAACCCTGAACCCAGAGAGCCCAATACCCCGTATTGGTGGAATATACCTTGAATTATAGGGGCCTGGAAATTATGGTTTCAGGTATACTCCTTAATTAAGAGGTCTTGGGTTCTTTGGGAAGCCCCTTAAGGATCCTTTCGCTTTTGCTCCAGGATCCTCACGCTGGGCGCCGGGGGCGGAGTTCCGCTGCTTCCCGAGCCACTACCCGTGAAGCCGCCTTCGGCCCGCTTTTTTCTGGGGTGTAGGGTACTTGGACGTTCATGAGTGGTTATCATTATAAGTGGATTTATAAGTAGGGTAACAAGAAGT